CGTAACATGTGTGACGGTGGCATAGTTTATCAGTTACTGACATTTATCAACAAAACAATTACAACCTGATATTTACTTAGCAAAAAACACAAAACTGTAACGTTCAGTTTAGTATTGAGTTTATCAGCACTTTAAAAAAGAAAACTTTAATTTTTCTGCCCCTGCCCTCAACCCAAACCCGCCACATCCCGTCCCCAACACTTGGCGCCCGAAACTTTCCCATAACCTCACACAAAATCATATTTTTCGAATAGCACACTATATGCAGTCGTCTTTAGATTGTCATTCTGTAAAAAAAACTTGAGCTTATCATCGAGTGGCCGTAGATGGCCATTAACAGCACTAAACCATTGAAAGATACTTTTCTTTGATTTCGAGGATAGGGGGTATTTCTTGATTATGTTTTTTTTCCTTTTTTATTTATCTATTCATTTTTTGTCTGTAACTTGTATAAAGCTATCAACTTTATTTATTTTTACAACAATTGCGAAACAAGTTAATTCAATTTGTACTTATCACTCTTGACAAACTTGATATCGTTTCTTACATGATTTAAAAGTAATCTTTAAAGGGACTATACCTGTATTTTTTAAATCGTGTTCAAGTAACCGTCTTTTTAACTGGTAAATTGAGTGTGCCTTGCTTTATATATACTATCTCCTTAAAGGCCTCTTTGTGTAGGTAATGTGTGTATGTCAAGATCTAGTTTGTTCTGGTATTGATAAAACCGAGAAAAAAAAATCAGTTTATTTCAGTCCAGTTCAGTTCAAGGTCTTAAGTTTCGGATCAACGTTACCAGTTGTTAAATAGTATGTTTAAACGATTATCTCATTATTAAAATACAAGGCCCAGACCTTCCATAACAAGTTACTGTAGTTTACAATAGAGATAAGATCACCTGGGACATGAGTAATCAGATTTCAAAGTCAGGCATGTTTGGTCTGTTCCTCAGAGAGAGAAAAACAATACATTAAAATGACGGACAGATGTATGATAAAGTCGGGTATCTGAGTTAGTGTGGTTAAGGTTTTGGAAGTACAAGTCCAAAGTCCAATAAATGCTTTTATACACCGGCTTAAGAAATATTCATACGAAAGTGGTAACACAGTAATTGGAAATACTGAAGACTGTATATTGATATGCAATTATTTCTAACATAACGACTAGCATATGTATTGGTTTTGCTCGAATGCCCAAATAAAAAAATATGGTAATTTGTAGTGTAAGCGGTTTTTTTCTGTTTTTACATGTGTATATATATATTTAGATATATAAAATTTACACTCACAATATTTCATACATTCTGTCAAATAACAGACAACAGTGAATGGGCACAAACTGGGAGGTGATTGGAATTGCCTATAACCCCCAGGACCATATAACTATAGAAACCAGTCAAATGATATCAAATTGTTATCAAAGGATGTAAGTGTCCCTACCAATGCGTATAAAAGTGCCAGCACTGTCAAGTGGATGTCCGCCTCAACCACTGCTGTGCCATTTTGATAAATATTTACATTGTTGAAATTTTTTGATCGAAGTGTCGCGGATGACCGTTTGGGTCAGGTGGTCAAGGTATAGAATCTGATATAAATAATATGCTAAAACCCAGGTTTAGCAAACGTTATCAAATAATCTATTCTTTCTTCATGGTGTTTAAGATTATAAAATAAAGTTCTGAGTTATGACAAAGAATAAGAAATAAAACTTAGGTTTACCGTCATTACACCTATTATTAAATCTAAAATGAGTTCAAGTGCATACTTAAATCTAGTCTGCCGTTACAGTACAAGAGTATACAATGATAAAACAGAGCAACCAAGAGCATGACAAACATTGTCACAAAAATTGACTTGAACAAGATATTGTAAATTTATATATAACCTTGACCTACAGATTACCATTACATATCTACATGTAATGTCACAATTAATGTTTCATTCAATTCAGACTGAATGAATGGAAACAAAACGATAAACGTTGAAATGAAGACTACATGAGTATAAATAACTGAACACTAATACCTGATCCATATTACTCACCAAGTACGCGTATTTAAATGTGCCGCAGGTCACACAAGATCACAGTTCAAATAACGGCATTCGATGCTATCGTTCCTGTGACACTGTTCAGATCGCCACCACGTGTGTAAATATAATACTTCTGACCAACCACGGACGTATAGATATGTGTGTAAATCATAATACTTCTACAACCAAATCCACGGACTTAGACAGAACACGCTGTCCTAACGCTATTTTTCTGTATACACTTCAAACACAAATATAATATTGAATTGACACTAATTACAAATAGTATGTAAGGTATTTACCCAGACTTAATCGCACACCATTATTTTACTCACCTGTGCACACTTGTACCTGTCCGAGTTGTTCGATTAGAATATAATAAAGCGTACGAGCCGTTGTCCACCCTCTGTCGTTGTGAATGTGAGACAGGTCACATACCCTCGGGTGTGTTATAATCGGGTATGTAGCGGATAGGCACACAGACCAGGTCACGTGATAATCTATCTGATCAAGCTACCTTACCATTACACCAATTAGGATTTTAACTCGTAAATATATATCCTTACTTAAAACAAAATGCTGTGTCGGGTAGGGCAGTGAATAAGCATTACAGCTAAGATTATAGAGTGTGGAAATATAGAACACTGAAGTTACACTTTATCAATACCAATCAAATTTCAAACACCGCCCACGTTTCAAGTGACAATATGGATCCCATAGAGAATGGCTGTTTCTTTCTAATGATTAATTAGCGATTGTCTCATCTTATAGATACGTGGATTGCCATATAATGTATACTGTAATGGTGAAACTGTTTATCCACAAAAAAGAAAACAAAAACAAAAACAAACAAAAAAAACAACAAATAAACTAAAAGCAAATTTTTTCTGATGCCGGTCGACTTTTCTCACACGGTAAATATTCAATTTTTAAATTAATTCACTAAGTATGGGATGTCCTTTTACCAATGATTATAAATCTAAATAACTTCACCTTTATATGGTTTATTGGCCTATGTCGATAACATACAATGTTGGCCTTTTGTTGTGACCACATGCTTTATCTAAACTCGTGTGTCTGTTTACATATGGAGATACATTGTACTCTGGTTGATTCGCCTTGGAAAAAATTCATTCTTATCAACCCTTTTTGTCAGGGTCATGTACTATTTACACTCAACTGCATGTTAAATGGAACGAGATCCCAATATAACATAAATGATAGTAATGGATAAATAATGACGTCATATTCCATCTACAGTAATTATGAAAAATTACAGCTGAACAGAAACAGATATATTTCTCACAAAAGATCGCGTTCATTGACTGAACTCAGTTTTGACTGGATTTTAAAGTTGTAAACAACCCTTATTTGTGTTGTTTGAAAACGCATTTCGATAAAAACACACGCATGATAACATGTTTCAGTAACGATTTATTAAGAAAGCATGAAAGTCTGTTACCATGCACCACAGCAAAATTTTCAATATTAAAATCATAATTTATAAATTAGAGATTAGGAGAACTGCAACCTGCAAATCAAATCGTATTTCAGATAGCACCAAAAATGGTACAACAATGACAGAATATTGACACAGGAATTTTTTTTCACTGAGGCAATTCAAAGGTGAAGGAGACGGAATGCAAAGGAATAGTAAGCGTTTTCTTCTTAAAGCCAGAGACGTTATATATGTCTCTGTTAAAGCCCATGTAGGTAATGCTCTCGAACCAGACTCACAACAACGAAGCCACTCAATAGATGAACGTTAACCGAACGCATCTATAAACTTTTACTTTTTTACAACAATTTGCGAAGTATATTTTTTTAATTTATACTAATCACCCTTGTTGACCTGGATTGAAGCGTGCGAGGGGTCTTTTCTGGTGTGGGGGTGGGTGTGTGGTTGTGTGTGGGGGGAGGGAGGGGGAGGGACGGAATCCTCAGGGAAAATGTAACGCCTTATCTTTTCACGTCCGTTCCGGGAATCGAACCACGGACGTTGACAATGCGCCACCCGACACATCTGTTATTTCGCTATGAGATCATGATGCCCGGAGTCACTATCGACGTACAATTGTACTTCTATGAAAACACTGTATCGTATTTGCTTAAGTCAATTGTCACCATCTATAACGAAAACCATTGCATCAGGACCTATAACGAAAACCGTTATATGGGGACCGGACACTCGAATATTTTATCATGAATTGAAAATATCGTTGTTATAATGATATACGGTTACGTGTAAAAATCTACCTGGTTACCTCCTTTCATTTCATTTTCTGCGATTAGCAGAATAATTTACTCCGTCAAATATGACAGTGTGGCATGGACATTATATATAATGAATATTCATAAAGCCCCATGTACCGATGGGGGGAGGGGGATTCCTACAAAATTCGCTGGTTAAGAAAATAAAATTGATAAGGTATCAATTCCATCAACCTTTTGTGATAAAGGTATAGAACGTGGAACACGCCGAAACCGATTTCACCTGTTACTCAGTCAAATTCGCAGTGGTTGTTTTTAAAAAAATATTTGTTTTTTTGAAATCACATTTCTCCGTGATGATCGATTTGATTCACGAAACAGGGTTACATGGAGATGTATTTTTGTCATAAATCTTCCAAATAAACATGAGTTTTTAACTTCCGTAGGGAGAGAGCGTTTCATATTTTTCCGTAACTGTGGTTGATTCAAGATTAGCAAGCATATGAAAAGAATATGTCTTTTGTTTGAACATCGTTAGACAAATTATTCGGCGTTTAAACGACATTAATCAGCTGTGATACACAGAACGGATGTATTGATACAATCTGTTGTCATCTATTACTAGAAAAACACATCTCAATTTAGCCCTTTGTCGTGAGACAAACCGATCACTTTATCGATAGACGTGACTTAATCCGTGCACAGATTAGGAAAACTTGTGAACCAGTCACAAAGACGGGAAATATTTTAACTTTTCACCAAGGCTGTGGTCTGTGCCATTGTCTCGAAAAGTTGTTCCAAGAGATTAACTCACACTTCACCTCAAAATCAGCAAGGGAAGATCCTCCCTCGTCCTCTAAACAGGGACTGTTCGTCTCACGCCCTCTAGCTAGTCAGCGATCACCGTCTCGTCCTCTAGTCAGCGACCGATCACCGTCTCGTCCTCTAGTCAGCGACCGATCACCGTCTCGTCCTCTAGTCAGGGACCGATCACTGTCTCGTCCTCTAGTCAGCGATGGATCACTGTCTCGTCCTCTAGTCAGGGACCGATCACTGTCTCGTCCTCTAATCAGTGACCGATCACTGTCTCGTTCTCTAGTCAGCGTCCTATCACTGTCTCGACCTCTAGTCAGCGACCGATCACTGTCTCGTCCTCTAGTCAGCGATGGATCACTGTCTCGTCCTCTAGTCAGCGACCGATCACTGTCTCGTCCTCTAGTCAGCGATGGATCACTGTCTCGTCCTCTAGTCAGCAACCGATCACTGTCTCGTCTTCTAGTCAGCGATGGATCACTGTCTCGTCCTCTAGTCAGCGACCGATCACTGTCTCGTCCTCTAGTCAGCGATTGATCACTGTCTCGTCCTCTAGTCAGCGACCGATCACTGTGTCGTCCTCTAGTCAGCGAGGGATCACTGTCTCGTCCTCTAGTCAGCGACCGATCACTGTCTCGTCCTCTAGTCAGCGATTGATCACTGTCTCGTCCTCTAGTCAGCGACCGATCACTGTGTCGTCCTCTAGTCAGCGAGGGATCACTGTCTCGTCCTCTAGTCAGCGACCGATCACTGTCTCGACCTCTAGTCAGGGACCGATCACTGTCTCGTCCTCTAGTCAGCGATGGATCACTGTCCCGTCCTCTAGTCAGCGATGGATCACTGTCTCGTCCTCTAGTCAGCGATGGATCACTGTCTCGTCCTCTAATCAGTGACCGATCACTGTCTTGTTCTCTAGTCAGCGTCCTATCACTGTCTCGACCTCTAGTCAGCGACCGATCACTGTCTCGTCCTCTAGTCAGCGATGGATCACTGTCTCGTCCTCTAGTCAGCGATGGAACACTATTTCGTCCCCTAGTCAGCGATGGATCACTGTCTCGACCTCTAGTCAGCGACCGATCACTGTTTCGTCTTCTAGTCAGCGACCGATCACTGTCTCGTTCTCTAGTCAGTGACCGATCACTGTCTCGACCTCTAGTCAGCGACCGATTACTGTCTTGTCTTCTAGTCAGCGTTCTATCACTGTCTCGTTCTCTAGTCAGCGACCGATCACTGTCTCGACCTCTGGTCAGCGACCGAACACTGTCTCGTCCTCTAGTAAGCGACCGATCACTGTCTCGACCTCTAGTCAGCGACCGATCACTGTCTCGTCCTCTAGTCAGCGATGGATCACTGTCTCGTCCTCTAGTCAGCGACCGATCACTGTGTCGTCCTCTAGTCAGCGATGGATCACTGTCTCGTCCTCTAGTCAGGGACCGATCACTGTCTCGACCTCTAGTCAGCGACCGATCACTGTCTCGTCCTCTAGTCAGCGATGGATCACTGTCTCGTCCTCTAGTCAGCGATGGATCACTGTCTCGTCCTCTAGTCAGCGATGGATCACTGTGTCGTCCTCTAGTCAGCGATGGATCACTGTCTCGTCCTCTAGTCAGGGACCGATCACTGTCTCGTCCTTTAATCAGTGACCGATCACTGTCTCGTTCTCTAGTCAGCGTCCTATCACTGTCTCGACCTCTAGTCAGCGACCGATCACTGTCTCGTCCTCTAGTCAGCGATGGATCACTGTCTCGTCCTCTAGTCAGCGATGGAACACTATTTCGTCCCCTAGTCAGCGATGGATCACTGTCTCGACCTCTAGTCAGCGACCGATCACTGTTTCGTCCTCTAGTCAGCGACCGATCACTGTCTCGTTCTCTAGTCAGTGACCGATCACTGTCTCGTCCTCTAGTAAGCGACCGATCACTGTCTCGACCTCTAGTCAGCGACCGATCACTGTTTCGTCCTCTAGTCAGCGACCGATCACTGTCTCGACCTCTAGTCAGCGACCGATCACTGTTTCGTCCTCTAGTCAGCGACCGATCACTGTCTCGACCTCTAGTCAGCGACCGATCACTGTCTCGTCCTCTTGTCAGCGACCGATCACTGTCTCGACCTCTAGTCAGCGACCGATCACTGTTTCGTCCTCTAGTCAGCGACCGATCACTGTCTCGACCTCTAGTCAGCGACCGATCACTGTCTCATCCTCTAGTCAGCGACCGATCACTGTCTCATCCTCTAGCTATTAATTAGCCGATCACTGTCTCGTCTTCTAGCTATTAATCCTCTAGTCATGAGCCAATCACTCACTCTTTTTCTAGTCAATTTTCGCAAATGGTCTGCCACTCTCTCGGCTTCCACTCAGGATTCGATCATCCTCACGTACAATAGCTGATTACTCTCGTTCGTTCTCCCTGCAAAGAACATCCTACATACAATGTACCCATATTTGCCGCTATTTGACTTAATGAGATAATCAAAATATGTGTGAGGTCTCGCTGCATGTTATATTCATGTTAAATTTGGTTTACAATAAAACTACAGGTTGTCGCTGCATTCGATATCTCGTCTCTATTCACTGCATTAGGGACAATAAAGTCATTCTTAAATGAAAACGACGAGTCATGTGCATTGTATGAAATTATGCTATTTTACCGCAGAATAAAGGACAACGCTGGCGGAAAATGATAAACCAGGAATCCCGATATCACCGGTATCTACTCACTGGAATCAATGAAGGTATAGTGATTGTACAAAAGTCACACAAGTGTTTTACTCTGTCTATCGTAAACGATACACACACCCATGATTAAGGATTATAGACAAAAATGAATGCTTTGAAATAGTATACACGCAATTAATTTTCAAATTATACAGGTAAGGTAAAAATGTAGACTGGTTTAAAATAGATAATACCTTTGACTGTACATTTCCAAGTTATTTTCTATTTTAAGTAGATACAGAGATTTTTATCAATACATAGTTGCTCTGTACATGTATCGATCGATAAATCCTAATGACAGTCCGCCTTCAACAGTGTCAGACAAAACTAAAGTAAGTTATACAATGGAAATGTAGAAACATACATGTACTATCCACAAGTGTTGTTAATCAAAAGTAAATTGAATGAGGAAATGAAACAGATCAGACTGAAATAATAATATATTGGCCTTTATAATGCTTTGTATGAAGGATTCGTGGACCAATGCTGAAGTCATGCCGGATACCAAGGAGACTAGTAATTTGCCGGTAATTTCTTTTCATTCTACAGGAATAAACACATTTATATGTTGGAATAATCGAGGAGTATGACTGTGAGTCTATTTACAATAAAAACAGATATACTCTATTTAGACATTTTTGGAGTGTGTTCGCCACCGACCACCACACCAACCCAGGTTATCTCGCTGTACTGAAGTCTCTATGCGGTATAGTTAACCCTGGTATCTCAAAAGGATCTACTGACCCAAAGAGCAACTGAGGCACATATTCAATAGATTTTGATCTCGTGTGTCGTAATAAGACACACGCACATGTCAACCTTTTTTTCAAGCCAAGTATTTTATTCCTTAAGTCTTTAGACTTATCAGAAGCAAATATGGCATTCATATTACATTAAAATACACAAAGCGGCAACACGATACACAGAGAAGAATATTACATGACGTCATTCTCATACCAATGTTATATAAATTGAATTCAGGACCTGATAATCTTATTTTTGTTATTTCTTGTTTGTATTTAGTATAAATAAATTTGGTTAAATATATCTGTTGTTCAAAACTAAAAATATGTTGATATACAAAACCTTTAGAAGATGAACGTATCTTCTCAAAACATTCCTGTTTAAAAATATCACAAAGTCTTTCCTTAATAACAGAAAACAAAGGGATGTTTACATTTTCTTCATCCCATAGATAACCAAGACCAATGGCATTTAATTCTTGATTGACATTCATAAGCCAAATATCATTATTGTTTAACATTTCCCTATAACAAGACTTCAATATACAATTTTCCGTCCTCAACAACTTCATCCAATATTTGATAAGTTTGAATTTACGGACTAAATATAATGGCTATCTTCCGAGTTCATTGTATATCATATTATTCATGGTATTTTTACCAACACCAAGAGCACGTTTGCAGTATTCTATATGGATTTTTTCAACATGCGGGGCAGCATGGAATCCCCAAATTTCCGTGCCATAACTCAATATACTATTGACATATGTGTCAAAAACAGCCATGCGAGTTTCTATATTAAAATAATTCGAATTACAGATTCGTAAAAGAGCAAAAACTGCCTTTCTACTTTGGCTAGCGATATGCTTTTGAGTCTCTCTAAATTTACCATTATAATTCAATAAGACTCCACGATAATTAAACTTATCTAATACTTCTATATTACAATCATTATAACCCCATGTCTCTTTTTCCCTTAATTTCCCGCCATTTCTAAACACAACTATTTTAGTTTTGTCAGTATTTACTGTTAGACCCCACTTGTCTGTATAATTTGCTAGTGAATTTAACATATTTTGTAACCTCTTTGCCGTTTCTGAAATCAGCACCATATCGTCGGCACACATTAACAAAAACAAATTGATTTCTTGAATTTCTATTGATGTACAGTTGTCAATTAAATATTGCATTTCACAATCATTTACATATAATAAAAAAGAAAGGGAGATAAGATTTTACCTTGGAATAAACCGTTTTCACAATCGAAATATTTGGACAAAGTACCGTTATACTTAACACAACATTTAACATAATTATATAATGACCGTATAATTCTAAGTAATTTACCACCAATTCCTTTCTTAATCAGTTTGTACCACTAGTATTGCCTATTGACGAAGTCAAAGGCTTTTTTGTAATCAACGAAACAGCAATAAAGTCTTTTCCTGTTTTTCAATGTATGATTAATAAGTGACTGAAGCGCAAATATTGCGTCAATAGTAGAAAATTCTTTCTGAATCCAAACCGAGCATCTGTTATTTCATCATAATTGTTATCAACTTTCAACAATATTTCAATATATATATATAAGTATAGAGGTGAATAATTTCCCGATACAACTAACTAACGTTATACCTTTGTAATTGTCCGTTTTATCAACTTCACCTTTTTTTGAACACAGGAACTATATTTCCCATAGACCAAGCGCTCGGGAAAAAAACAGATTTGAAAACACGTAAACAATTTTAATAAACAGGGGACAAGGATATTATAACAGTTAATAAAATATTCATTTAGCACACCATCATTACCAGCTGCTTTATTAGGTTTAAGTCTTTTAATAGCTGATAGTATTTCACTTTCTGTTATGTCTACATCAAGTTCATCAATTTGAGCTTGATCAATGCTTTTATCGTATTCATTTAAAAAATCACCAATATTTTTATCTACAGTAAGCGAGGCCCTACTAAGCGATGAGAAATGTCTGTAGAAGTCATCAATACCAAGATCAAATTTAAAGTTTTTCTTTTTTTTTATTAAAGGTTTTGTAAAATTCTTTAGGATTATATTTGCGTAAATAATTCATCATATCTCCTTGATTACATTTATACTCTTTTTTCAATTCGTATTCGAGCTTCTTGTATTCTGACTTCTTCCTCATAAGTCATTCTCTATTTGCAGCTGATTTACATGTATTAAAAGTATATAGAGCATTCTTATATTCAACATATCTTCTTTTTACAAATATCATTAAACCAAGGCTTATCTCCGTTGGATACTTTAGCCTTTTGAGAAAAACTATTTTGGGCAAACTTTTGTGTACAGTAAGGGGCCCTAGATCATCCCTGCTCGAAATTTCGTCACGCTCTGGTGGTTTTTGTTGGCTAAACTTACCTATGTTGCGACTATATTATGGGCTTTTCGTGTTTATATTATAATTACAATTTTACCAAGGTAATCTTATTGAAATTGTTGATAGATTTTGCTACCTTGGACTTGTTTTAAACTATAATGGCAAGTTTAATGTCACACAAAAGCACCACGCCGCTCAAAGTCGTAAAGCTTTATTTGGACTTTAAAAGAATAATGTGTCAATACAACTCAACTATACAACCTGTTGTTCATTATTTGATGCTTATGTCAGTAGTGTCTCAAATTATGGGTGCGAAATATGGGGCTTCACTACCGCACCAGATATTGAAAAGCTACATTTAGATTTTTGTAAGAACATTTTAGGAGTTAAATGATCAACGGCTAATGCCATGGTGTATCTTGAACTTGGAAGGTTCCCTTTATCTTATTCACGTAAATTGAGAATATTTGAATATTGGTGTAAACTCATGAACTCAGATAACTGTATATTACGTAATTGCTACAATTATAGGTATAACAAATATATCTAGTACAAACTGAAAGAGTTGGGTGTCACTTGTTAAGAACGAGTTATGTTCTCTTGGTATGTATGACCAGTGGTTAAAACAGGAGTCTTTTAATATAAAATCTTTTTCAGCTGTTGCTAAACAAAGATTGTCTGATCAATTCCAACAGGATATGATGAGTCGTTTAAATTCGTCCTCCAAATATGACTAGAGAACGAGACAGTGATCGATCGCTGACTAGAAAATGAGACAGTGATCGATCGCTGACTAGAGAACGAGACAGTGATCGGTCGCTGACTAGAGGACGAGACAGTGATCGGTCGCTGCCTAGAGGACGACGAAGTGATCGGTCCCTGACTAGGGGACGAGACAATGTTCGGTCGCTGACTAGAGAACGAGACAGTGATCGGTCGCTGACTAGAGGACGAGACAGTGAATCGGTCGCTGCCTAGAGGACGAGACAGTGATTGGTCCCTGACTAGGGGACGAGACAATGTTCGGTCGCTGACTAGAGAACGAGACAGTGATCGATCGCTGACTAGAGGACGAGACAGTGATCGGTCGCTGCCTAGAGGACGACGAAGTGATCGGTCCCTGACTAGGGGACGAGACAATGTTCGGTCGCTGACTAGAGGACGAGACAGTGATCGGTCGCTGACTAGAGGACGAGACAGTGAATCGGTCGCTGCCTAGAGGACGAGACAGTGATCGGTCCCTGACTAGGGGACGAGACAATGTTCGGTCGCTGACTAGAGAACGAGACAGTGATCGATCGCTGACTAGAGGACGAGACAGTGATCGGTCGCTGCCTAGAGGACGACGAAGTGATCGGTCCCTGACTAGGGGACGAGACAATGTTCGGTCGCTGACTAGAGGACGAGACAGTGATCGGTCGCTGCCTAGAGGACGACGAAGTGATCGGTCCCTGACTAGGGGACGAGACAATGTTCGGTCGCTGACTAGAAAACGAGACAGTGATCGATCGCTGCCTAGAGGACGAGACAGTGATCGGTCCCTGACTAGAGGACGAGACGGTAATCGGTCGCTGACTAGAGGTCGAGAGAGTAATTGGTCGCTGACTAGAGGTCGAGAAAGTAATTGGTCGCTGACTAGAGGACGAGACAGTGATCGGTCGCTGACTAGAAAACGAGACAGTGATCGATCGCTGACTAGAGAACGAGACAGTGATCGATCGCTGACTAGAGAACGAGACAGTGATCGGTCGCTGCCTAGAGGTCGAGAGAGTAATTGGTCGCTGACTAGAGGACGAGACAGTGATCGGTCGCTGACTAGAAAACGAGACAGTGTTCCATCGCTGACTAGAGAACGAGACACTGATCGATCGCTGACTAGAGGACGAGGAATTGATCGGTCCCTGACTAGGGGACGAAACAGTGATCGATCGCTGACTAGAGGACGAGACAGTGATCGGTCGCTGACTAGAGGACGAGACAGTGATCGGTCGCTGACTAGAGGTCGAGAGAGTAATTCGTCGCTGACTAAAGGAGGAGACAGTGATCGATGGCTTACTAGAGGTCGAGAGAGTAATTGGTCGCTGACTAGAAAACGAGACAGTGATCGGTCGCTGACTAGAGGACGAGAAAGTGATCGGTTGCAGACTATAAGACGAGACAGTGATCGGTCGCTGACTAGAAGACGAGACAGTGATCGATCGCTGACTAGAGGACGAGACAGTGATCGGTCGCTGACTAGAGAACGAGAAAGTGATCGGTCGCTGACTAGAGATCGAAACAGTGATCGGTCGATGACTAGAGGCCGAGACAGTGATCGGTCGTTGACTAGAGGTCGAGACAGTGATCGGTCGATGACTAGAGGCCGAGACAGTGATCGGTCGCTGCCTAGAGGACGAGACAGTGATCGGTCGCTGACTGGAGGACGAGACAGTGATCGGTCGCTGACTAGAGGTCGAGACAGTGATCGGTCGCTGACTAGAGGACGAGACAGTGATCGGTCGCTGACCAGAGGTCGAGACAGTGATCGATCGCTGACTAGAGGTCGAGACAGTGATCGGTCGCTGACTAGAGGACGAGACAGTGACCGATCACTGACTAGAGGTCGAGAGAGTAATTGGTCGCTGACTAGAAAACGAGACAGTGATCGGTCGCTGACTAGAAAACGAGACAGTGATCCATCGCTGACTAGAGAACGAGACAGTGATCGATCGCTGACTAGAGGACGAGACACTTATCAGTCGCTTACTAGAGGACGAGACAGTGATCGGTCGCTGCCTAGAGGACGAGAAAGTGATCGATCGCTGACTAGAGGACGAGACAGTGATCGGTCGCTGACTAGAGGACGAGACAGTGATCGGTCGCTGACCAGAGGACGATTAAGTGATCGGTCGCTGCCTAGGGGACGAAACAGTGATTGGTCGCTGACTAGAGGACGAGACAGTAATCGGTCGCTGACCAGAGGACGATTAATTGATCGGTCGCTGACTAGAGGACGAAACAGTGATCGATCGCTGACTAGAGAACGAGAAAGTGATCGGTCGCTGACTAGAGGTCGAGACAGTGATCGGTCGATGACTAGAGGCCGAGACAGTGATCGGTCGCTGCCTAGAGGACGAGACAGTGATCGGTCGCTGACTGGAGGACGAGACAGTGATCGGTCGCTGACTAGAGGTCGAGACAGTGATCGGTCGCTGACTAGAGGACGAGACAGTGATCGGTCGCTGACCAGAGGTCGAGACAGTGATCGATCGCTGACTAGAGGTCGAGACAGTGATCGGTCGCTGACTAGAGGACGAGACAGTGACCGATCACTGACTAGAGGTCGAGAGAGTAATTGGTCGCTGACTAGAAAACGAGACAGTGATCGGTCGCTGACTAGAAAACGAGACAGTGATCCATCGCTGACTAGAGAACGAGACAGTGATCCATCGCTGACTAGAGGACGAGACAGTTATCGGTCGCTTACTAGAGGACGAGACAGTGATCGGTCGCTGCCTAGAGGACGAGAAAGTGATCGATCGCTGACTAGAGGACGAGACAGTGATCGGTCGCTGACTAGAGGACGAGACAGTGATCGGTCGCTGACCAGAGGACGATTAAGTGATCGGTCGCTGCCTAGGGGACGAAACAGTGATTGGTCGCTGACTAGAGGACGAGACAGTAATCGGTCGCTGACCAGAGGACGATTAATTGATCGGTCGCTGACTAGAGGACGAAACAGTGATCGATCGCTGACTAGAGGACGAGACAGTGATCGGTCGCTGACTAGTGGACGTTCAACATATAGTTCAAGTCACAATATACGCTTACATAAAATCAACATGTACGCAATTAACGACACGTTGTAATTACAGGTTTCAATCAAAATGACAAAATTTCAAAACCACTTTGAATAGTATAACAATGCCATAATGAATCACTGGTTACAAATTTAAATGCTAGTAACTGTGTTTTAAAGGTATGTTATGACGCATTAGTTGAATTCAACAAACCTAACTGTAAAATGATTTGTGTTTATCAAATTAAGCATTAACTATGTAGTTTGGGTGTTATAATAAAACTTGAAAAGAGTATAGAAAAGTTAAACAGAGTTTGTACTTCACTTGGGCGTCTCTTGAAATCACCATTCTCAAAAGCAGTAGACCATAAACTATGCATTATTACGTTATCTTGAAAGCATCTAATTGATATAGACATTTAGTTGTTCTACCTGTTTGACATGAGCTGATAACGTAATCAATTAAATCTAAAATTAAATTCAATGTCTAATAGAATGACTTGATAAGTGATTATCGATGAGCTGGTTTTGACACAGAGGATTTGCCGATATGACGTACACGTTTGTCACTCAGACATGGTAGGATTTAGTATGTAAAGTATGGTCTTTGTTTGCAGTTTTACCTGTCGACACAAGTTCAGTATATGGAACGATCTGAATGTCTCTATTTAAAGTTTAAACATTGAAATATTTTTGATGTCTGATTTCTGATGGGGAAAGTGACACCTTAAGTAATGCCATATTATGTATAAGTTAAAATGTGAAGGATAAAGATCAGCTGATTGAGAGAACCCTATAATTGATATGTTGGTTAGGGGATTGTTTGCTTGTTATTATGGACATACTAGAGATTAAATCATGAATTCTGTTTTAACACGAAACACAGTCGAATGTTAAAACGACAAAATCCATTATCTTATCTCCATTATATGCATAAAAACAAAAAAACTATCAGCATTCTTAAGTATTCGTTCCTCATAAGGCCATATGTTATTTCATTTCTAAATATTTTAATCAAAATAAGAACACAAGACGAACATTCTTATATATAATCTATAATTAGGCTACTAATTGTTACATGTAAGGATGAATCGATTTGATACGGAAAAATTTTATGAACACAAAAAGTGCAATTAGTACTGATACAATAAAATGTTCGATATACGCGAGACACCTTGAACTTGGTCCTAATGATCACAACAGGTTCACTCCGGATCAGAAACAAAAATGTCCACAGCCTTCAAGTGTCCGCTGATCGAAAGAGCGTGCCTTGCGTTTGAATTGTAGAAAAACTGAAGATTCAGAAAAAAAACAATCAAATTCTACAACAAAAATAATTCAATTAGGATGTAATACAAAAATTAATAGAAAAAAATAACAGACAACCTCCACCGTACCAAAAATATTTACAAAATATCAAAATACAAAAACATAAAAATTGGGTGGGTGGGAGGGAATTCAAACACGTCCGTATACTTGTGTAACAATCTCGTCGATGACGAGTACAGGTTAAAAGTCCTACAGCGCAGCACGCGAGCACACACGTAAACCTAACCGCGCTTAAAGCCCTGCCCCATGATTAAAATATAAATGAAATGAAATGCGATTGATGATGATTGTACATTGGGAAGTAATAAGAATCACATAATGAAGGTTGAGGACATTGCCGTAGGCTGAGACTGTCAACGATCTAAGGGAATTAACTACCAGTTGGGACATGGGTTAACATCAGCACGCACCAACTCAGATGGTCAGCAACATTAACGGCGCGATACCTATTTAGGAAGAACATTCCTCAGGGAGATTAATAGTCATATTTGACACAATTTGTTACGGGACGATCAACCATTGGAGAAGCCATTGACAGGATTGTTATCAGTATAATATTGGATAGGCAGACAGAACCTAGAGACAGAACCTCAAGACCCGGGATTCCCAGAAAGGACATGGAAATGTATGTGGTCACCTGCCCGACCACGTGGGTTTTCCTCAGGACCTAGAGACAGAACCTAGAACAACTCCGAGACTGAGCAGAGACGGTATTATTTGGTTTCATTAATCAGACAGTCCAGAGACTGAGTAGAGACGGTATTATAAGATGTTTTGTTAATCAAACCACTCTTAGACTGAGGCGAGAATGTATTCTTAGATGTTTTCTTACACAATTTAAAGGAATCCAACCAGTTTCAAAGTAATGTGTCTCACAAGAGACAACAAAGGATAGGCTAGTTACAACTCCAAAGCATTTGACATTTCAACAGAGCAATCATCCCAAACGCAAGAGGCACATTTGAGAGTCGGTCTAATGAAACATGTATATATATGGTATTTAATGTGTCCTTACTAACTTCATATTTCTATTGGTTTAACGCAGAGCCTTTAGAAGATGTTGTTTTGATAATCTGTTGAACATGGTCATGCCACTTGCAGCCACTACTAAAAAACACTACAAGGTGAGAGAACGTGACCGGAAGCGGTTCATTGTTACAAATAAGGTTGGGTTTTATATCGAGTGGACTCGATGAGGAAAGAATTACTTCCGTCTCAGCGAGATTGAACTGCATCAGCCACTGATCAGACTAGTCCTGTAAGCGCTCAATATTCAAAAGAAGTTTAAATAAAAGTCTATTATTCACACCTTATCAAATGCCTTGAAGAAGTCGCAAAATACAACACACGATTTTTCTTTCCTAGCAATGGCTGAAACTATGTTATGATAAATTTCGATCAGCTGATAAACTGTCGAATGAAGTGACAGGAATCCAGATTGATATTTGTAAAGGATATCATTGTCCCTTGCAAAATTGAAGACATATTTGAAGATAAATCTTGTCGTTATTTTCGGAACACAACTCCAAAGAAAAATTGGTCGATGATTAACAGGAAGATGACAGTCACCTTTCATAGACAAGTGTAAAAATGGTCTAAATAAGGGGCGAACGCCTTTGTCCGGTTTCACTTGAATTTATTCAAATTCATATTGAGTCAAAGACCCTACAATACCAAGAATAAAATACATAAGCACATATATTTCCTATAGTCTTAAAACATTAATTCTACGGAGAATAAAGATACATATCTCGTAAACCATCGAAATAGATTAATCTGATCTCAAGGTGATCATGGCGACACTACTCGTAGTATGCAAGTAGAGAGATTCAATATTAGATGTACAATTTAAATCAGTTCCAAATATATAAATATTTTTTATACAATAACTACCTACCCTGACAAAATGTCCCTATGGTCTTGTACCAAGCTATTGTTCTGAACAATATATTTGCACGGCATACGGCCTTGAATACTGAAACGTCCGTACCCGTGAAAAGTCAATTGTCCAATAAAACCCCGCCAATGACAAACAAATACCACCGAACGAGAACGGGACAATACCTGGGCACACATATACGTATAACATCACATTGGTAAACTGGACATGCGTACACAACATTTATACTTGTACAAGTAGTTAAGCAGACGACACGGAAAAAACACACCAATAACGGCGGCATAGAATTGAAAAAATTGACCCTTTTACACAAGGGTAAAACATGTGTTTTCCTCCATTCAAATGGAAAAGAACACTCACGCACGGTACAATTAAATAACAACGACAGAAGAAACGATAAATCTCTTATCGTTGCTTTGAGCCTTTGGTGACAGAATTTATCTGGGCCGACTGCTTTACCAATATCAAGAAATGGGAAAAGACAAATACAAGACTGTACATCGTTTTCGCTTTTCACATTATCAGTTAAGGAATTAGCAATTGTTTTTAAGAATTTGGGTAAAATTGCATCAGAATCATAAATCCTGAATATGGAAGATAAGTATTTATTAAGTACTTCAGTCTTTTCTTGATCATTATAGACAACCTGTGGAATAACATATTCAACATGATGAGGAGGAAGTAATTTTTTGTGGAGAAGACATGGAAGTTTTGAGAATTTTCCAGAAGTAACGAGGGTTAGCATTCATTGATTTATATATGCTTGACTCTAGATTACTATAAAAATCTTTAGCTTCTTTTTCATGCTGTTTACAGTATTTCTTATTTTCTGATCATTTTTCCAATCTGTCGAATTAACAGTATTGAGAGTCTGCTTCCGAAGTCTTTCATGAATCTGACGATGTTTATGTAAAACAGAATTAAACCAGTGTGTACCCGACAGAGAGATAGTTACGTCATAATTAGAAATACATATATGACCTAATTCTAAAAATTTACCAGCTTTCGATAGCTGAGTCAATGGACGGGGCAGCCATGATGACTGATGCCAATAAACAACACTAAGCAAATTATTAAGTTTTTCAAAAATCTGTTAAGACTGTAATAATAATAATAATAATAATTTCCGAAATATGTTCGTTTGTAATTCCACATTTGCCTCTCATAAACACATGTTCCTAAGGTTATACTTTTGAGCTAAGGTTTTTAGATTAGAGTTGAGATGACTGAGGTCAACATTGGAATCGGCTAGCAGAGCTACGTCTGAACTATTATTAATGGTAGGCGTACCGCTGGTGGTGGCTGACATGCCGCTGGTGGTAGGTGTGCCGTTGGTGGCAGACGTACCACTGGTCGTGGTAGACGTACAGCTGCTGTTGGTCATGCCGCTGGTGGTAGGTGTGCCGTTGGTGGCAGACGTACCACTGGTCGTGGCAGACGTACCGCTGCTGTTGGTAAGTGTACCACTGGTGGTGGTAGGTGTGCCGCTCGTGTTAGGTGAACCGTTGGTGGTAGACGTGCCGCTGGTTGTGGCAGGCGTTCCTCTGCTGTTGGTAAGTGTACCGTTGGTGGTAGACGTACCACTGGTAGTGGTAGGTGTACCGTTGGTGGTAGACGTACCATTGGTGGTGGTAGACGTACCGCTGGTGGTGGTAGACGTACCGCTAGTGGCGGACATAACGCTGGTTACAAAAGAACGGTTGGTAGACGCGCGAGTTGGTGTCTTCACAGATGACACATCACTAAGTATGGAGTAAGTTTGACACATAGAACTGCCTGGCATTAACAAAAATCCGACCATCCAAGGTCCAGTATGAGCAATTATCCTTCCACACCTCACCGAGACGATTTACATGCAATATTCTGGCGATATTTGGTTAAACGCAGTTATAAACAGTTTGTTCGTGTTGTTTTTAAGACGAGAGTTTCTATTGAAGACACGCTGTATATTTAACAGACATGTTATCATGATAACCTTCTTGTTGCGGACTTTTCCAATAGTGTGTGTGCGTGAGAGATCATTGAATGCAAAATGAACCCCGATTTCTTCACAATTGTTTTATTTTGGTTTGTTAGGAGTCGAATTCTTTGACAGCACAGTTAAAGGGTACATTGTGGAATTTAATTACTGTAGGCCTCGAGTACTGCTGTTGCTCGTCTAAATCAGCCTGAAAGGAATTTTTCTTTGAGACGCAATCACGGATGCCTGACTCTCAATATGTCTTTAAACGGAACTTTAGCGTCGTGTACATATTGGTTTACTGACGATATGAGTAATTCACTGTCAGATAGGGCTATTTGTATGGCTGCCACTACATGCGGCTTCATGGATTCCATCAGTAGAGATGACACCATACTGACGAGAGTAGGAGCCAACATCTGTGAGAATTGAGTGAGAGATTCCGGCGTAAACATTAGCTGCTGGATGTTATCATGAGCAATGAGCAAAATCAGGTGTGTGTGTGGGGGGAGGTGGGGGGGGTCACTTGGTGTACCCGACTGACCGGAGGGTAACTATTGGAGGGTCGGACTTTGTCACATAAGTCAAGGGTCGTTTGTTAACAGTATTCTGGATGTCATTGGGCGATAACGGGCTGTTCACAGTCTCCTCTTAAAGAAGTCCTGAAATGGAATAAAAGAGGACTAGAATACATATCGGCTTGCTCAGGTGTAATGGTGAATGAACCGAGTTCAGACCTACCTGTCTACGAATGTCTATTTGTAGCACGATGTACACGTATGTATGCAACTTCAAAACACACCTGTTTCCGTCGGTTTAAATCGTTAAGTTCACAATAAATACAATACCATTCTCAAACATATGGTATACAGTGCTTACCGAAATGACCGCTAGAAATAGCGATATAAAACTTAAAATGACCACACAAATCTTCACACGTCTTCACGGTTCATTCATCACGTGACGTTAAATCAAGATAGTTAAAACACATTTGTAATTTTATATTGGAGAAAAATAGTATTTCCATTAAGCGGTACACATTAACAATTTGATATAAAATGCTGGTAAGCAAGTTATTGTCTTTTTTCGAATTATTGGTTACAGAAATACTATTATCCGGCTTCAATTTGGACATAATATATACCAACCATAACAACTAAGTGAAATAAATAGCTGCAGTATCTTTTCGTATTATAATCTATCATTACCATTATGAAAACAAACTTGATATAATGTTATATATTAGTACCAAACTAAATACACAGCATTTTCTACATTCATACCAAAATTGCTTAGTCAAAAGGACCTTTCAGCCTTATTGATACGTCAACATATTTAATACGAAGTCTAAGGTGGAAATTTTTGGCAAATCTGTACTGTAACTAGTTAGTCTTGTTATACTTCTTATTTCTCACATCAAGTCTTACACAAAAGAGATATACAGCACTCTGGAAGTAATCAAACAAGTGATTTTCTGTTAAAAAAGACTTTCCGTTTAATTATTATTTTTTTAACTGATGATGTAAAAAAACATGTTGCTTTCCAAAAACCCGAGGAAAATGTTTTGCTATCTTGCTATTAATTTGAAGTTTGTGTTCGTTTTTCTTTTTTTTCGAATTTTCCTCAATATTGTAAGCGTTATCTCCCTTTATACAAGAATGACCTTTGTGACCTCTGTGCGGGCACCTGCTACCGGAAGCTGTGTAACACACTAATGATGTTACGCATGCTCGACAACAATATCAATATGGCGACTAAACACTGAAGTCTTACTCATGTTGTGTGTATTTCAGCGTTGTTGGTGGCATTTTAAGCGCGATGGATTCAACCGATTCAATGGTCGACCCTCAAGCGGAAGTTCAAAAGTTGCAAGACCTTGTAAAGAAGCTTGAGAAACAGAATGAAGTGTTACGTGACCGACAAAAACTTCAACTTGAGTCATTGCAAAATGGGGAAATAGAACCAGTGAAGTTTTTGCCAAACCATAACAATAATATATCAGATAAATATAACATTGACAAATCTAGGACGAAATCTGATTCTAGTGATGCTTTTGAAGATGAAGTAATAGACCTAGAGAAACTTTCCTTAAAGGATGATGAAGACAGTTGGTAAGTTTGATTACTGAACGGCACAACACAGGATTGTCTGGGCACACTTTCACAATAGTGCCTTGAAAGCTAGACAAGTTATTAATTTGGACTAATTGCATATATTCTTTATAGATATTTCACGATCTGTTTGAACACGTCATATCTGTATATTGCAATGACCCAAAATCTCTGTATAGGCCGGCTTTAATATACAGTAGATCTAGATGTATAACAGCTTGTAACGTCACATGTCATGATCACAATGAGACACAACTTAATTGTTCAGGATTTTAGAAACCATAATCACGACCATATCTCTATGATGATATACTGTATCCTAAGTTTTATGCTGCCCTTTTGCATTTCATCAGATACGAGATATTTTGAGGACAAGTATTTATATATATTGTAAAGAGAAATGGATATAGCTATCAGACATCACTTTTCAAAGTACCTAATATTATCAAATTCTGTGACCAAAGAAAACTTTGGTTATCAATGTATTCATTTTTGTTGACTTCATCCAACTATCATATTTAGACATCCATCTTTTTGTATCTGATTTATCTTATTAATGACATTTGATTTATCACTTCAGATTATTATTGCAACAGGAATTGATTTTGCATTGTTTATCCTCTACTACTTTCTGCAGGTCAGCAGTTTATTTGTAAATGTCATTGCATATGTAAAAGAGACATAAACTTTGCCATTTTAGATGGAAAAGGGACAGTAATTTTATAAATGTACATTTTCATTGTTGTATGATCAGGTTTTAACAGATATCTGTTGAATCAACTAAACATATATACCTACCTGTTTATTAAAGCCATTCAGTCATTTCATCTCGCATAATTGTAAGCACGATGCCACTTTACTTGATTTCATTCATGATTGTTGGTAATTATATGTAATTAGTATAAATAATTTAACATGCTTTTAACAAATCTTTGAGAAATTTTCAACACCAAACATGTAGGATATTGTTATTAACTAAGAAAACACTGACAGGAGTTTATGTGATTGTCGACCAGTTATTTGCCATCTTTGGATCTTGTGCACTAGATTAAAGATAGAAAACTTTTGTCAAAATATAGTTTTTATAATGATTTCAGGAGCAAAGATCATAGCGTAGCAGTGGAATGTGTCTTAAGGGAGAAAAATTATACCTTTCAGCTTCTTAAATTCTTCTCATAAAGAGTACATTAATTTAAAGTTAGTGCACTTAACTAAGGAATTATTTGATAGAATATTCATCACTCTGTTGTTTTGCTTATAATTAATTCTTCATTAATGAAGAACCACCTGCTTAAATAATCCCTGTTTAAAGACAATTCTTTCTCTAGTTTTCACCAATTTTCAGAATTTTCATCATATGTATACATGCATGTAAACATGTTGCACATTTTGAAATTTGGCATTAAGCCTCTTACACATATATATCTTTTAAGTTTTAAAAACAAACAGAATATACACATCAAATGTAAAATCTGAAAAGTTGAGTTAAATGTGTATTGGTGGTACATTGTGTATAAATGTTTGAAAATAGTTTTGATGTTATTAAAGGCTATTGGATTCAACCATCATATTTATATAAAAATTATATGTAAAAAAGACCTGATGCATATACATATTCTCATTATGTCGTGTAATTTTCACTCCTAGAGTCAATAAGATATTTATGACATGAATAAATACCACCTAAAGTATGCACTCCATAGTTACACTTTTTGATTCATATTGAGTGCATGGACGGAACTATGGGAGATCAGGTCTGTTAATACATTTTCAGTTTGTAACTAATCCTATTTAAATTTACCAGTATGTTATAAAAGTGTTAAATTCTTGCAGGTGACAGGTCTGTTGATTATTAGTATATATGTCCATATCTATTAATTACTTGAGGTTCAATAAATATTGTTTACTTGTAATATATCTGGAGTTGGTACAATGAATAAGATATTTATAGGCAATTACATAGTAAACCATTTTAAGCAACATAACTTAATCATTTGTAAGGTTTAATTTTCATGGCATTCAGTACTCTTTCAATTGGGAATCAGTCTGACTACAAAATTGACATTTCACTTAAGACTTTTTGACTTTGTGTGATTTTACTTATTAAATTATCAAATGTCAAGGGTTGCATGAAGGCCCTTATGTTTTTAATCATTTTATGAGTAAACACAATGAATTTCATTTTTTTTATCATTGTACATGTGCATATAATGCGAAGCTGTGATACCAATGATATCTCTACCAGTGCTCTTGATGTTATTACATTCACAAAATCCAATAGATAGTATTAACTCTGATGGAGATTGCTGAGATATATTTTATTATAGTCTAAATATGGTAAATCGTATGTCCAGTGGAGCTATTAGTATTGAATCAGGAGTTCTAACATTTCAAATCAGACATATAGGTCACTGTTAAAGATGTTGGTAATACCAGGTACACAGTGCCTGTGTTGGGCTCCAAACCATTTCTGTCTGTGTGGACTCAGAGATGGTGATGGGTGGTGATTAACAGGTGCTGTGTTCCTAGTAATTACTGACAAATTGAGTCTGACTACATCTGTTTGGATCATCTAGACTCATAAACATGTTCCGTATGTATGGTGAGCCTTAAAACATTACTGTATCACTGTTAGAGAAATTCTTGGCTCAGTTTGAGTAGAATGGTGATTCCTTCAGTAACTGCACACGTTTACTGATTGTTCAAATTATATTATAAATTACTAGTATATCAGACCTGATATTGAAGTAACAATAACTATCTCATATAATAATAAATGCCTTGAATCCTCAATGGTCAAGGTACAGTATTATAAGACATATACAAAGGAAGAGACAACTATAGCTCAACTGTGGTGCTCTCCACATGACAAAAGCAAGATTTGTCAAATATATTAAAAAATAGTAAAATTAGGTGAATAACTTATACCATGGTACAACAATACAGTATATGTATATTAATGATAGGTGCATCCTTAGGGTTATTCAATTTACAAGCCCACCTCCAGCTTCCTATACACTGATTCAGGTAAGATTATTGACCCCTGGAATTCCTTCAGGATAAATACAACTATAATAAATGATCACATAGAATGATAGTTATGCTACTAAATCTTTAACAAAATTTGTAACATATGTAAATACTCCCATTCTTCTAAAGGAATTAAGAGTTTTATATTCAGAGCCAAAACATTGAATGAGGCCATATATATCTGTCCACTTTGTTTTTTTCACAGTTGACCTGGTACCCCATATCGTTTTGCATTGCCACCTATTTTGGTATACATATTTTAACCACTCCTTATTGTTTATAATTATTCAGCTAGCTGGTTTGAGAACTAAGTTACATATGCAAATTGTTCTACTTGTAATTGTTGTAAGTATGTTATACTGTACAAACATATGTGGGGTTTTTTTTGTATTATGCAATTTTAAAAAGCTTAAAACTTTATGGTTAATATGATTATGTAATTCTCTGTACCTGTTATACTGGACAATAGGTAGAAATATTTCTGCAGGGTTGTTGCAGTGTATGTACAGCTAACCAATACCATGTAATTACCATACTGCTACATCTCTGCACGTCACCACCTCATGATCAGTTGGTTTTTTTTTTTCACTTTAAAACCTTCATCATCTTAAGATAATGGTACATGCCAGTTGCAACTTATATGAATTCAAGTTGTATTTAAATGCATGCAAACAAATCAACTTAGATAAAAAGTGAAAATATATATTGCTTGTAGACAAACTGCAAGGTGATGTGGGATCTTAATCATACAAGTTTTTATTTCATTAAGGTTTATCTATGAAAATTTCACATTTTAAGAAAGTGAGCAGGTAAAGGCTTCCTTTTGAAACAAATTTAATGTCCTCTTTATTATACTTTCTTATTTGCAAATTAAAGTCACAAACCTGATCAAACTGAACGACTTCTTCAGTACACTTTTATGCATGTATATAAATACCAATATATTTAATATTCATTGTGAAACCATAATTACTGTATGTCTCATTATAGATATATACAGTACAAGTTTATGGTCCTATACAAAAGCATTACATGATTGTCCTAATAATGACCATGGCATGGTAATTAGCCAATGGTAATCATATTTCATGTATAGATCAGTGACACAGTATTATAAATTTTTTCGTTGTTATCAATAATTATCTTATAATAATAGATTCACATGAGAATAGGTCTATAGATACATTAAGGAGATATATTGTCATTGTAAACATATGGTGTAAACAAAGACTTATACCTCAATGTTATAATGTGATATAATGATATAATGATAATAATATAATCATGATCATTAACTATGTATACTATGTACATTGTTTAAGTCATTCATAATTAAACATTGTAACAATTTGAAAACATACAATCATTGGAGATGGGGGTGAGTTTGTTCAAACAATTATCAACACTAGATACATTGTATTTCTCCTGTAGAATGCACAGTTATTTACAAGTACAGATATCAAATAGATAGATATATTATCTATTAACACAAACATACCTGTAAATGTTGTAACAGTACTACCTTTGACCTGTGACCTAAAGTTTTGACCCTGTAATACAACACCACATACATCAACCATTTTTACATTATGCTATCACTAATTAAGGCAATAAATATCATATTTATGTAACACATAAACAAAATATCAATGAAACAGCAGCTGCTTATCAGAATATTAACGTTTGTTGAAATGACAACATTAGATATACCATAAAAAAGTATACTCATGATCATGTGTCAGATTTTATCTTGGCTGTTAACTGATACTGGTAAGAGTATATATCAGCACCCCAAATCATATACCAGTACATCGTTACTGTACATATTTAAATTACATACATGTGTATCTGATGTGAAATTTATGTTAAACATTGATGACTACTTTTTTCAGACCAGATATACAGCACATGTGTTTGTGTTTTGTTATAAAATGCTAGCTGTATCCTTTATGTATATACCAACTCCCCATGACTAGTATTTTTTAAAACTAGTTTTGAAAATAATGTACATTGTGTACTTGTAGATATCAAAGATTACTGGACACATTGGAGGTCCTATAAGGAGTATATGTCCAGAGGAAGGAGTACGTTTTGTAATTGGAAAGAAATGACCTCTGTCACCTCATTTTCTTTAATTTATTCCTCAGGCTGTACTCATCACCCAAGCCCCCTACGCCCTTACAGTCTCGAGTCAGTCCATACAAATGGGTGCGACAGGAGTTCGACCATCCGAGTCCAGAGGTGGAATCTGTTCGCAAATCCCTCATCCACAGACTTGATGAGGCAGCACGCAGTATGTATACAGAAAGCACCAACAGAATATACCTACTGTTGTTAAATGTTTAAAACAATCAAACATCATAGGGATTAGTATTTCATTGTAAATCCAAATGTACACTATATATAGGAATATGTCTTAACACAATATGTATACTCTCAGTTAAAACTATTTAACAAATTTTTTTTAAAGGAAAAGCTAAATTAGTATTTGAATTAATTTGACTTTTGTTCCCAAGTTAAAAAATGGTCTTTTGAGGTAAATATAAAAATGAAATCCTCAAAATTTTAACTTGAGAATCATAACCGTCAGTTTAAAATTGTTCTCAGTACAAAATAAAAATGTATTACCTTTTCAGTAATAACCAGTACTTATCTTATAAATGTTATATTTCGTGACAAGAATTTGGCTCAAGAATTTTAAAAAAGTTGATTTGAACCGTGCAATTTTTACAATGATTAGGAAAATTAGTGTATATTTATGTGGTGATAATGTGTTTAGTGTTTAAATAATGTAAAGACCAGTTTAAGTTGTAAACCTATAAGGTTAATTAGGTACGTGTGTCAATTGAATACATGTATCTTACACACTATCAAACTCTGTATAGGTATAGTGTACATCCACAAAAACTACACATACACATACACTGGTATAGAGTTTGTGCATGAGGATGTCCTCGGAGACTAGATCAGACTTGGCTTTAGTGATGGTAATGCATGGAGGTAGTAGGAAGCAAATAAATTCTGTCTGCTAGCGCGTGAGACTAATCATAGTGATATATATTTATTACAGAAATTATGACAATCGTATTTATCTATTATCGTACATGGAAATCCTCCGAGGAATTCATCATATACTGCACTTTATACCTATAGTGAAAACTAACAATAATTTATTCAAAGTTGGCAATGAAACCATCCAAATAGCCTTTTGAAGCATAGAAATAAAAAAGTCCCCATATTTTCAGAAATATGCCAATCCAAATTATACAGAAGGACCCTGTTTAATTTTAAATGAACTCTCTGAATTGATCCATGTATAAATGTTTTATGAAAATAGCAACATACAAAAAAAATGAGATGTAATGTTGCCACATACAGACCTACTACAGGTTTAGACTTTCTGTTGTATAATACTGAACATGTGTTATAGATGGAATTTAATTGCAGTCATTTTAGAAGTGGAAAAGCTAGGGAAGTGAGACAGCTAATAAATAACCAACAATAGATCTAACCACTGGCCCAAAACATTACTGCTTATTCAGAGAAGAGGGTGGGCTTATTATAGTACAATGATATAGTATCTGCTGTGATTTATACTGAAACTTTCTATGGCTGCGAGTAGGCTTAACACCATACATGAAGTTTGTTTTCAGATATCACAACAGATATTGTAATTTACCATCATCTTCTCAGTGATGTATATACATATATATGTTTCCACCAACAAGAAACATTGTTATGTTAGATTAATTACTGCATTTCTGCAAACACCTCCTACTCAATTGCCTACTGGTATATATTAAAGACCTGGCAAAATTAATGTTATGACAGCGATTGTTTTTATAGACAGACAATCAAAACAACGAAGTACACATATATTGTGAAGATAATCAGGTTGTGGCTTGAAATATTTTGTATATTTTGTGTACTTATATGATAGTTTTTTTTTGTCTCTTAATAAATATTTCAGATAGAAGAACTAGATTCATGAACACGTTGTGTTTTCATAATACCTGCTCACTCTATACCAGGAAAATATACAGACTCGGTACATGTGTCTTGAAAAACATGTACGCTGGCATATACCGAATTTCTTCACAATGTCGGAAATGTAGTTGTGTCAATGAGAAAATCATAACTTACTTACCAGTTACAATTAATATAATTTTATAAAAATTACATTACAATAGACAGAACAGATACAATAATGCTACACGATCCATGTACATTAACATGACTATAAATACATGTGCACTTGGAGAGAATTGTGTGTTTTCCCCATAAACAATCAGTTAATATATTGTTCGACTACAGCTTATAACCAATTTCCTTTCCCATACATTATTGGCTATGTTTCGTGTTTAAAAAACATATTTTTGAATTTCAGGAGAAAGTGAGGATGCCAGTAAGTGTATTGTGTGTTCTAGATATTGACCCTATCATGTCCCCTCCACATTTCTGTGGGATGTACTGGTTTTCCTGAGTGCTGTTCTGTAGTCTGTAGTTTTCACTCACACAGGATATACCAACCTTCACAATAAATACATGATGCTTACATCCACAATCAATAGCTACAAGCTAGATGGGGTTTGGAGTGAGAATATAAACATTTAAGCCATGTCTGTAACAAGACATGTTACAATATGTAGATTGATGAGTATATGGTGATATTAATTAGGTGGTTGTGTGATTATAATAGTAAAACATGTAATAGGTCTGTTTTTGTAATACATAACCCTTAAGGTATAATAATGATAAAGACTGCTAATTAAGGCCAGAGAGAAAATGCAATCAGCTTGTTAAAACATTGTTTATAAATGTACATGTTATAGTACACTTTTAGTTGGGGTACTAAATTAACTTAACTTATCTTTCTACACTGTTGGATTTAATACTCTCTAATTAATACCTTTGTTTTTCAACACTGAGCAATTTTGGAAGAATGGTTTCAATATTAATCTATACTTGTGATTTCAGCTACAGTTTTATTTGTCAATACTTGTCCTTCCATGTTTTTTCAATGCTGATTTTACTGAAAACTTATACCATATCTAAACTCCCAATTAATTGGAAGTCTAGCTTATGAAACAAGTTTCTGTATCATAATTTGTGTTTGACTGGCTACCAGTCACAAAATTTCTGACAACAGCTTATCTCCCCTTAGTTTGAAACTTCTGATAAGAGAGACCAAAATTATTATTTACAATTTTGGTATTCTGGAGATAAGGGCCAGTCTGAATTTGTGTGTCGTCAATATCCAGATTTCAGTAGTGTAGTGTCTTCTAGAAATGGTTTCTGTAAAAGGTATGTTTTCATTTAGAATTTAGATAACTTTGTTCTTTGTAGAAGTGTGTCTCGAATAAAATGATCTTGTCTGATAGGTCATCATTTCTTACTCATGCAAAATTGTGTACTTTTGATTCACAAAATCAGATTATGTAATAATATAGTTTCAATATTACTAGAAAAAAATTTTAAAAGACCAATGCCAGTGTGATTGAAAAGTTAACATTTGACCTATAACATCCTTGAAACTCCAGGGGTTACAATCACTTTGCTTTCTGCACCCCTGGAACATGTCATGGTAAAATTGAAGTTTCTATATGTGACACCTTGTGGACAAGACAAAAAGACTAGTTTGATCCTTTGATGTACATCAAACAAATCTTAAGGTCAGGGTATATTATAATGGCCTTGAAGTTGGGTGTCACTGATTTATTTTCAGAAGAATAGGTGAGCCAATGATTGGTCAGTCTTTTCCTCCTGGAGCCAATCAAATTACTTTTATATCTTCAATTTTGCCATGACACAATCCAGGTGTGCAGAGAGCAATATTGATCGTAACTCCTGGAGTTTTATTTTACTAAGGATGATGTGTACATCAACAGACCTGTACATGTAATACACATACATGTTCATACAAAATACAGGTACAGCTGAAAGCTTGTACACGTTGAATCAAGTTTTCAACCTCAAATTGATGCACATTGTAATTGAATAAATTTGTTGGAATTGTAACAATTTAGGTAATTACTTCAGCAATTTTCTGCCATTTAACTGACAACTCTGTAGTTCCAGCATTATACCCCCCACACATGTAGTTAGGAGGAGGGAGGATGGTGTGTAGTAATCACCTTGTGTGGATGCATCTGTAACACAACACTATCTCTCTTGATAGATTTAGTTTATGTTCACTTCAAAGCCTCACACAGCCAAGTTTTACTCCAGATTACAGGTTTGTTGGTCAATGGTCAAAGTGAAACTGTCACTGCCTGGATCCCTTTCAATATTAAAGTATTTGTGTATGCTAAGATGACTTGTGAACACCTTGATTTAAAAACATTACAAAAACCAGGGAGTGGAGTGTCGATCTGTGTACATCCTTGTTCACTTTGCCTTTGTTATTTCAAGTAGAAGTTACAGAACAACATGCACAATTTCTCTTTACAGTTACTCTGTAAGATTGTGATGAGACAACGATTAGATCTAATCAATTATCTAATCCTTTAAGCTCATCTGATATGATGATAGTTTTCATAATTAATCATTGGTACTTCAATATTTTCTTATGTCTTACCAAAAACAAAATTCATATCATGCATTACAATAATATTCATTCTTATGCAAATTCTAGGTAAGTGAGGTATTTCAGGTTAAAGTTACAAAAGGAGAAAATATTACTGTGACAGACTCCGTCTGTGAATATTGAACACACAAACAGTCAACTGCTACAGTAGTAGTGTACATGTATGATCAGGAGGTGTATTGGAAGGCTCAGTGGATAGTGTAGGGATATAAGAAGGAAGTATATTGGAAGACTCAATGGATAATGTAGATGTATAATCAGGAAGTGCATTGAAAGGCTTAGTGGATAGTGTAGGTGTATAATCACGAGGTGTATCGGAAGGCTCAATGGTTAGTATAGGTGTATTATCAGGAAATGCATTGGAATGCTCAGTTGATAGATGTAAGATCAGGATGTGTATTGAAGGCTCAGTGGATAATATGGGTGTATTATGACAGTGTAGGTATATAATCAGGAGGTGCATTGAAAGGCTTAGTGGATAGTATAGGCGTATAATCAGGTGTATTGGAAGGCTGGATTAAGCTTGCAGACTGAATGTAGATCTGCAAACTGCCACCTGATATTAAGATTTTGCAGGTTGCCAACTTGATGTTTTTTTATCCAGCAGATGTTCCATACCCTTACCAACAAAATGAAAAATTTAAATTAGTGAAAAGTAACGTGGTCATACTGAATTATTGTTTAAAGATACATTGGCTCATACATGTACATGAATGTAAAAAATAAATGGAATATCTCGACAATTTGCTGTTTTATAATAATCATGGAGTAAATTCCTCACACTAGTAATTTATAATACTTGTGTGAGATGTTTCTACACTGTCACTATATACTTCAGATGAAAGAAGAAGAGTTTAAAATGTTACCATTGACTGGAGCTGTGACCTCTTGGACTCCACATTCCTCTAATTTTACCACTAATGATAATACATGCTGGATTCTTTTCAGTGTCAAGGAGTTGTAGTACGCCTGCTTTCCAGAGCCTGACTACACCCTCCCCTACACGAGGCTACTCACCAATGAGCCAGTCTGCTGACAGTACTCCTTTGTATAACCATAAGCCTGTGGTCAAAAAGACACATGCAGGTGAGTTGTCTGGTGTTATCTTCAGAAATACACTGATGTAACAACATGACATTGTAATTTGAAAGCAGTGAAAATTTTTAGGAAAGAACAGTTTAAGACATGATCAGAAACTATTTTATTTGTCATGCTTGTACATGCAGTTGAAAGGGTGTATTTTTTTAACTTCTTATACAGTATATATGATACATGGTGATTGTTTGAATGGATTTGCACTGTAATACTCCCTTGCTATCAAGAGGTCACACTATACAATGGTTTACCATTTACAGGAAAAATCAGTCGCCTTGACACAGGAACATTCACACGCCCAAAGAAAAGTCGAGAACCTCCGCCTCCTATTGTTACCCAAGGAAGCTGGAGTAGTCAAGATGATTCACCGCGGAGCGCTGACAGTTACCGTGACGATGACAAACAACATCCTGATGTGGCAGACATTGAAAACCTTGCAAAACAGCAGGAAGAGAGTATGTTTCAACCAAGATTAAGTATAGTAAAATTTTGTAAATATATCAGTTCAAAGATAAAATTTCACATGTAGCATTCGTCATTCTGACATAATTTTTTCTTGGGTAAATATTTGCTGGATTACAATAGGTTTTTAGCTGATTGTATTTGGTGTATGGGATAAGGATGTATTGAACTGCTATTTGTTATTCTCTTTACCAGGTTTGCGACAGAGTTTGAGCCAGACCCAATCATCTCCACGGAGAGGTAATTATTCCTGTTATGTTAACACAAATTAGTGTCGGACAAAATCGCAGTAGATCTGAATTCCTGGACACCAAGGTCTGAATTCCTGGATTTAGCTGCTTGAGGTTCTTTGGTTGCACATTTGGTATCTTAACAAGGAAACTCAAACGATGATTATTTTTTTATCAATTTTACTGTTTATTTTAAAATCAAGTGACCATTTAAATAGTGCTCTAATGCTATTTTCATCACAAGCTTAGATACCAAAATGTGGATCAAATATATATCTGGCCGAAAACTACACAACTCAGAATTATAAATTGGCAATTAAGAGATATGCATAAATAACAAAGAATGACATAAGATAAATGAATCATGGAGTGTTAGGTGAAAACCAACAATAGTGTCAGTTTGCAAGCTTTCACAGTCATTTAAGTAGTGTTTTTAACACTGTAAGGGAAGCAACTCTCAATACTTTCAGATGAAATAGGTAAGCCCAGTACAGACAGTATGAAGATCCCGAGTTCAATCCATTGTTTCTAAAATGTTTAGTTTTGTTTTCAAATGCTTATATTTCAAATGCATATGTAGTTACAATTGGTTTTGCAAAATATGACACTTTTTAGAAAAGCATGATGGTTTTTTGGATACTGGCACTGGCATTGGTATATAACAGAATGACACCATTTGCTGATGTATTTTTTGCCTTCAAATTGCAGAAATTCAAATGAAAATAAAATAAATACCTACATGTTTAATTTGTTAGGTTACAGTCAGTAATATCGAAAATGATGGAATTATTAAATAAAATTGTAGCATGCCTAAAACTTTCACATGTACCCAAATTAATATTCTTTTAACAATGATTCAGCTAGTTCAGCTTTACTGTGGTTCTGAAATTAAAAATAAATAAATATTTCACACATTTATATTTTTTCTGTGATGACATTTTAAAAGACTGATATTGAAGAAATTGTAGCACCATTTTCTGAGTTCTTACAAAAAAAAGTTTAAATTACTTATCATATCTTGAGATATTACTACAAGGTGTTGGACAAGTATTCACAGCTTTGTCCATAGATGAAAATTTTGTGTAACTATCGAATTACTGACATTTAGAGGTAAAGGTGATTAATACTGTCAGTCATAAGGACTGAGAAAATTAATGTTCTATATCTATCATTACAACTAATCATTAGATAGACCTGTTAAAATAAATCTAGACACGCAAAATTAAGTTCTCAAATGAATAAAAACATGACCATTTGTTGTAAAGCAGATGAAATATTTCTAATAAATTATATGAAAATTTCTGCCCCGCTGTATTTAGCGTTCTGATATACATTTAAACAATGATAAGAACATTTTAACATTTTTGCATATACATACATTATGTATGTTGAAATTCCTATTTAAACTGACATTAGTATATTGAGTTTAGTCAACCTGCTTTAATGTACTGGTAATCAAGCTAGGTCATTCTGAATCGTCTCCAGTAATGCTAGCTGTGGTGCAATTTTTTCATGTCAATTTCTTCCTCTTTGTCCAATCATCACAGGAAAACGGTCTCGGCAACCTGCTCAATCTGTTGCCGGGGGTAACAATGATATAGATAACAGTGCCTCAAATATGGGTTCAAATCGTTCCAGTCCCTGTAGGCAAGATGGTAAGAGGTCATGGGGTCATAAGGTCCCACGCATGATTAGCTGCTTCAGTGGTTTGGTGTCCCGAGAGAATGATTTCATGTGATTTAAGCATGATAACTTAGGAAGTTACCTTGTGAGTTAGTAGTTACCAGGTACACAGGGCTGAGGGGACCTGATGCATGCTGTAATGGAGATATGCTTTCATTGTGTTCCGTTGTAGTTATAGTGACAGAATTATTTGTTCACCTTGTCCTGAAGTATTTTTATAAACACTGGTATATTTTAGGTGTAAGGAATGTACCAATATCTGCATTTCCAGGTAAATTAGATCTATGTGATAATAACATGGATGTTGTGGTTGACTGTTCCACTTATACATATAGGAAGTAGAGGTATATCTTATTCAAATTTTTTTTTTTATGAAAATTTTTTTTTTTTTAATGCCTAGTAATCAAGAATCAAATGAATCTTGGTACACTTTATACATGTATTCACTATTCAGAAACTGATTTATGTTATTCTATAACTAGTCCTTTCAGAGTAATTATCATTAACTTAATTTCAGGGTTATTTGTCATGTAATACTATTAGTACTCCGTACAGGTCATACAATACCTGAAATCCCTATACATGTCTGTTATGGTGAGAATGTAGAAGAAATTTTCATTTCCATCCCAGAATATTAAAATCTTTCACCACTCATAAAACATGATTAATTTCGAGATTGTTGACCTATTGCTTACTATAGCTATATGTTGTATACATACTTGTGATGTAAATTCTAGTTCACTCCAGTGATGGAGTGGCTGGAGTAAGTGTTGTGGCTGTTGATAGTATGTTAAAAATCTGTGTGTCTCCTATTTGGTGTTGTGTTGTTCATGTTGTACCGTCGAGTCCTGTGTTTCTGAATAATAGGTAGAGGTGGAATACGGTCATATTTATATACTGGGTGGACAATCTGTGATTCTACAAATTGTATGAATTATAATTTGGTATGCTTAAATACAGATGTCACTAAAATTGAGTGTTCCACCCCACCTACATGTAACTCTATGTCTGGACCAGCCTTTTTTTATGATGTTTTAACTGATTTTGTACCAGTTGTAATCAGGTAGTAGATGCATCGTAATTGTCTGAGCTGTATTAATATACCATATACATTGTTTTTTGTATATATATGTATGTATAGATATGTATTAATATGTGATCATGAAGTATTGAATTATATGCCTTCTCCAAATAGTCATTAAGTCACAGTCTGAACAGCTTAATATCTGTATTGTCTTTAAAATCCTTTTGGTAATTTTTCTATATAAAGCTGATCATATTCATCCTTCGTTAATTACCTCTTTTGGAAAACGGTTTAACCAGCTCAGTGTATCTGGGAAAATAGACTTGGAGTTTAAATGTACTTCCTTTTTGAAAACGAGATTACCATTTGATTTAGGTCTGTTGGTCTACTACTTATTGGAAGCGAGTCCTGCAATTTTGTTTTCTTCAGAATCTGTGTGAATAGTTGTACATCATCGATATAGACTGACATAGAAATATGTTGATCTAGAAGTTTTTGCCTAGGCACAAGTTACTGAAGCTATTTGATTTACAGGTGAGCGTAGGAATAGTCAGACTAACAGTATAGGGTCTGACATCAGTAGTCCTCCTGACAGTCCTTATGGAAGTCAATACCTGAATCCTCAAAACCAAGGTATGTGTGATTCACCAGCCTCACAATGCATTTTCATATTCCTCTGTATGATATAGTGATAGATCTACATGTTAGTCCTTAGTCCTGTACTGAGAGAGTATGGATGGGACTCGTAGAATTTCTGAAAGCATTAAAAAATTTTTATGGTGGGACCAGTTTTTTTTTTAACAATTAAGTAAAAAAGGGCTCCTGAAAATGAATTGTAGATTGATTACTGTACACATTATGAAACCATTCCACTGAATGTAGAAATTAATATTTTGGTTGCAGTACTGTTGAAATTCTACAGAAGTGTTGAATTAACAGAGAAAAACAAATGCAGAAAAATTAATTTTTCAGTGTGTAGAAAGAATGACCATGATGATTCTGTCATATTTAGTTTGTTTTGCTTTTGACCAAAAAAGAGAACAATGACAAAAAATATGCTCTTGTATAATCACATCATTTGCAAGCTGTATCTGTGCAAGTTTTCTAATTAAGGATTTCAAATTTTCAGAGAATTTTTACTTATGTTTTACATTGTACAGGAGAAGCTACTGGGTTACGGAGGAATTTACCAAATGTCTCACGGATGAACCAGCCACCTGGCTTTCACTCCAGTGACCCTTACCTAGACAATAATTCGTCTGGGGGTAGTGATGACTGTGATCGTACAGCTCCAGAACCTCGCCAGTTATCACGCCTACAACCACAGGTGCGACCTGCTTCTCCAAACGTCAGTGGGCTGAGACAGCCTAACCAGGTGCGGCGGGGCCTTTCTCCACAGAGGACTGGGCTGCCCCAACCTGCCCGCAGGTCCATACCACGCCCTGGGAGTGCAGGGGCAGCTGGAAAGTCTGGAATAGCCACACCTAGGAGGTCAGTATTAGTAACAGTGTAAGGATCACACATGGCTTTCTCAGTTCTTATAGCTGTAATAGAGTTTTTACATGCAGTGAAAATGATGAGAATATATATGACAATTCAACAGGTTTTGTGAAGGCATACATGTTCTGTTTTGGATTTTGTGCCTCCTAGGTTTCAACAATTGACTTTAGCATTTTTTGATGAGTCCCAGAAGGACGAACCATAGGTATATGAAATTAAGTTCCTTATTTGTCTACAATGTATCCAATTCTAAGTTTATATTGAAACATGCTGTTCACTTGTGCGTACAGTCCATTAAGAACGTTATTTACTTACAGATCAGCCATACCTTCCCCGCGACCGGTTGCTGCCTCGAGAACCAGCGATGAAAGCTGGAAGGATGGCTGTTTCTGATGGACGGAGTACTGTGTATGTTGCTCTGAAACTGACAGCAGATGGTCGATGGATCTGACGGTTTTGCATATAAACAGTAGTAGACAATCCCGAAAGGGCATATTTTTGTGATTTGTTTCAAAGTCAGTTTTAATGAGTCTTTTTATGTATGAAAACAGCAGTATTGTTTGGTTTTGAAGATTTTTACATGAAATGTAACTGAACTATGAAGACTGATCCTTAATGTACATAAAGGCTGTCTGAACAAATCAATAGGAATGATTGGTGTTATCTGAGTTTTGATATTGCCTCGGCTGTAAGCAAAGTTGTCAGACCACGAACTGGTCACTACCAGAATGACCAGTATCTACAGGATAACACAAGGAAAAGGCATTAAGGAAAGCAGAGCAACATCGAATTAAGAAGTGACAGAAATTAAACATCTGGTTTTATCATCATTTTATTAGTAGAATGCAATCATTACTAACGATGTTGACTGTGCAATACTTTCAATCAGAAATTTAAACCAGAAATCCTCCCGGCTACTTCCAATCACTCACATACTTTGCTTCATAAAGTAGGCCTTTATCAGACTTATAGAAAACACTGGTGCTGCAGAGTGTTGTGACACCATACTGGAAACATGCTATCCAACAGGTAGATTCAGAAAACACTTGCTACAATCAATTTCATTTTCAGAGAAATTGTAGATTATCGTAAAACCATCTTGTTGTGTATACTGGCTTCAATTCATCGTGATATGTTTGGAGTTCAGTTCGTTTTCTTCGTCTATTTTGATTGCTACCAGAATGGATTGTATATTTAAGTCTGTATTCATGCAGTTATTAATATGATCATTTAAGTTTTCCAACTCTACCACTTTTCCCTGTAAAAAGTGTGCCCTTTTGTCTCTAAGCTTGCTTTTTTTCTCTGAGTGGTTCATGCATTTTTGTGAAAAACCATAATGAGTTTTAGTTTTTAGTGCAACATAAACAGATTTCTCTTTAGCAACAATATTACTGTTATAGCAACTAAATGAAAGAAAAATTGTATTAAGAATACTGATGTACAGAAGGAAGGGGAGATAACTTAGTTTGTATGACATATGTCTATGAACTGTAGTTAGGCCAGTTATGAGACAAATGATCAAAACTACACGGGTAATTGTTTGTTACATGTAGCTGTAGTCTAAGTTAATGTCATTAATATGTAGAAAATTCCACAACAATCCTGACTGTACTGAATTAAGGGTACCCACCCCATCCCGGTAATTTTATTAAAATTGTATATTATGTAAATAAACTGTCATGATAAATCTGATTAAGATAAATTAACAACCTGTTCTGATGTTAAACAGGAATATACAAAACAGCAAAATACAAAGAAAAAATTAATTCTTATAAATATAACAAAAGAAAACCGACCCAGAAACAAACAAGACGTAAACAAAAACCTGAAGGTGTTTGCTGTTTATTATTCTATTAAGTATAATGAACTATCATTTATTTATAGTTGAATTGTCTAAATACTAACATTAACTGTGGTCAGTACACAGATTCTCTTATTACTGTATTCATTCTGCAATACTTTGTAATTATCTCAACCATATCTGATGCTGTTCAGTGGAGTCTCTGTTATAGACCCGCCCACTGACTGAAACAAAGGGTTGATGCTGTTTAGTGGAGTCTGTGTTACAAACCCGTCCACTGACTGAAACAAAGGGTTGATGCTGTTTAGTGGCATCTCTGTTATAGACCCGCCCACTGACCGAAACAAAGGGTGGATGCTGTTTAGTGGAGTCTCTGTTATAGACCCGCCCACTGACTGAAACAACGGGTTGATACTGTTTAGTGGCGTCTCTGTTTTAGACCCGCCCACTGACTGAAACAAAGGGTTGATGCTGGTTATTGGCATCTCTGTTATAGACCCGCCCACTGATTGAAACAAAGGGTGTACCTATTGGTCCCCTATGATTATTGCAGGATAAAGACAGTAATATGAAGTACAAGATTACGAAGACAAACATCATTACAGTTAATTAGGAAGATTGTTGCCATATATTTATATATAATCATTATTATAGAATACTTTGGGTAAGTGATATTTTAGACATACCATGATTCATTGATTTGTGTGAACATTTAATAGTAAAATCAGGATTTTAATAATTTCATTCTCTAAGACCAGTATGCTGTGTGGAATTATCAAAAGTTAAATTTAGTGTTTTGGTTATGATTTCAGTAATTTTCATGACAGTTTGATCCAGCTTTTATGAAACTTCTTGAGTCCTGATATTTTTTTTATCTGACAGAGAAATATTGCAAAAAGGGTAACATAGACATAATGTGAGCAAATATATATACAATCATATGAATAGAGTTTGCCTTTCATTGTTCAGCAACTTGTGATATTCATTTGTGTGTGCATGGAGTACACTGTACTGATCGTTTCTTTAGGCCATGTTTCATTCTGAAAAGTTTGGCGGATGTAACGGTATGGTATTGTATTGGTAAAGACTGCATGGATCTGCTATTGAAGATTAAAATGATTTTATGCTGCTGAATAGGACTCGTACACATCAGCTTTATTTTAACATTGTACCAACTTCTGATTTTGGATGGAATTTAGTGAAATTGTTGAAGAAATACCATTTCCCCCAAAAAAAAAATGAAAAGAAAGAAAATTAAAAATTAAAGAACTTACCCAACCCCATACCCCAAAAAGAAAAAAGTTGACGAAACATGTGATATGTAACTGTTAATGTGCTGCCATTATGTAATTGTATAAGAAAGCCTCTCCAATGTGTATATGTGTACGAGACAAGAAACACTTTGACATTACCGTTTTGTTGTACATAATCGTGTTAACATGTTATGCTCATGTTTTGACTCGCTCCCTTTGTATGTTAAGCTCGGTAATGTAGAGCTAGTCTCTCATTGTGAACATATGTTTAAAAATTGTGGTGAATGTTGAATGATTGAAGGGAGGCAACTAGAAACACTGGTGTTAATAGTCGTTTGTAAATTATTATTGTGCATTTTATATCAACCTATTGTCTCATTTTGTATATTGGTTTGTCCTTATTTTGTTATATCTGATGGGCTAAATATACTTTAACGAACATGAATTACACTTTTTGTAATCAGTTGAAATCACAATTTAATTGAAACAGGTGATTATGATATGTAAGTAAAACCCAAGAAATATTTTTGGCTGAAGGATGGTTATATTTAAGTATGGATGTCTTTCTCCTTTCCATTCGGAGTCATCCCTAAAAATGTGAAGTTTCACTTTTATTTATTAGAATGTGAAAGTGTAATTTTTATTTGGAGTCTAATCGTGATTTGAAATATTCTGTAGCTGTAATGTCAAACACATGCCTGCTTTTAATTTAGTTTTTTGTTAAATTTCATGTCAATTTCATTGAATGTTTCACAGATTATAAGATAAAAGCATTTGGTTGGATTTTAGATTTCTGACCTTCACAAAGTGGCTTCAAATTACTATTAGAAGTATCCAAGTTATTGTAAAGAATTTCACTTAAGAATGTATTAGATACTGTAAACTTACATCTTTTAGTGGTTATGTTATTTTAGCATTTTGGTGCTGAAAATAATGCGGTACAGTATGATTGCATTTTCTGAATGTTACTCGTATAGCAATCATAGCGGATGTGCTAATTCATCATTGCGCTTATTCCAAAATGTGATCATGATTATGCGCCAAATGAAGTCCTTTTACAGTAATTCAATTCAAACTCTTGCTCATCTTGCCATGAAAATACTTTGAACCATCTGTAGGATACTGTAAGTACATATTGCATGAAAGAGGTTTGTAATTTTTCCCCCCACACTTTTTAAGTTTTATGTACTGAAAATGGATGGATGAGCATTTTGCTGTAGACAATTAGATATTTATATAAAGATGTCATTCTACTGAAATTTAACAATATTGTACTTTGATTTTAAATATGAAAAAAAGTTCGGGTTGTATTATTTAGGTCTCTGATTCTGTCATCCAGATTTAAAAAAAAAAAAAAAAAAAACAAGAAAAAGAACGTGCACTATGTATGACATGTTTGATGTTCTTGAAGTGATAATTGATTATCACCGACACACATACATGTGGATATCGTGGCACAACAATTAGTATAGGTTGTATAATACAGTGTAAAATTACAACTGAAAGTTTTTAATATAAAAAAAAAGAAATGGATGACTGGAGATGTAATTTGTCTTCTATTATGGTGTTTTGATATGCAGTAAAATGATATACTGGTAAACATATTATTGAAGGTCTGAGACTGATATTTGTAATACTGGTGTACTTTTTGTATACAGATGGAGATAGGTGTTACGCTTCCAATTTCAACAATATTTCAAAATGCTAAGAATCGATAATTACTCATCATTACATATAAAAAGTCTATTGTGGAATTTAAACGTAGATATATATATAACTGGAGCTAGGAACTTGTTACAGGATCAGTTTAACAGGAACATCGTGTGTTTGTGTAGCAACAGCTAGTGTTTTTATGACTACTTAGACTAAGGATGCTGGTATCATGAATTCATTTAGTCCATTATTTATAAACTAATATGTTACATATCATTTCTGTTTTGTTGGCAGTGTTTGTACTTCTCGTTATGAGTTTTAAAGATGGTGTAAAGTTACTTCCGTACATACAGTCTATATATATCACAGAGCACACATAATGTATAATGCCAGACATAGGGAAATAGCAGCCCTGTGTGCAGCATTACCGCAGACCTATACAAGGTATCAGTCTTTGGCAATATCAGTATAGGCGGGGAGAAACCAAAATTTTCATTTCCACTAACCATCTGTATGATTTGTGTGTCAGGATGCAAGCAGAATATTTCAATACATATGCCAGACTGAATTAGGCAATAAAAAGTCTCCTTTACTAATGATAAAGACTGGATCTAAAAAACATATTGTCTTAGTATTATGAATTCAGAGATAAATATTGTATATTTGTAATATTGCCCTTTATGAATTGATAAGATGTACATTTTTTTTAAATGATTAGCTTTTAAAGCAGGGAAAGTTCCTATTGTCCCTTCCCAAGTCATGGATACCTTACTGCTTGGATACTACTAAAGTTTTAGCTTTAATTTGCATTAATGCCAAGCACTTAAAATTGTATGGATGAGACAATGCTATTTATGGAAATAGTGCTTTTTTACTTGAATTATGCACACTTTGTTTTATGAAATCTGATTTACATTGTTTATATCCACTAAAGTTTGGAACATTCTGTATGTCCTGTAGCTACGTCACATTTAAATACCTGCTTTCTGTGTGTCAGATATCACTCGTCATGTGTGCTGCCTATGTGAACACATTCTTTGTCACAGTAAGGAAATTTATATTATTTTAATCACATGATCTCATTATTGTAGGTAACACATTTTTAGGAGCCATGAAACTGTCTGTGATGATTTCAAAGTGATGTGACCTAGAGTATTGAGTAAGTTAGGACAACTCAGGGTCGGATGAGACAGAGACAAAGAGAACGTATCACAAATAATGGTGACTGTACAATTCAATGCTAACAGACAAACGCTCTATATGTCACGGACATTTTCACTCAATTTCAATGTGTACCATGAAATATTCCAGTAAATATTGTGATATGACAAGAATATTTGTAAAATAATTTTGGTGTGAGTTGGCATTAATGGACAAATTCATGGCTTCATATGTTTTACTATATATGTTCAAATCCTTTCATTTTAATCACCGAGTCCGACTCTTGGTTGTCTCATGGTAAAGGGACTGGCTGGTCTGTGAAATCACACCATTACACCCCAGTGTGGCATTTCTAACTATAGCAAAACATGTCTGGAACATGCAATATTTATCAAAATAAATATATTTGTGTACACTCTGATTAGCATAGAAATAACACAGGCAAATTTTGATATGTGAAATTTTCAAAGAAACACGCCATTGAGGTATTCTGACATTTATAATTGCTGTCCATATAATTGTTATTTCAGTTAAAATTTCTGTATTTTGAACATTAAAAGAAGAATCGTTTTTATCAATATTATATGTTTACATATATTAAGCCAATTTTTTTTATTATTAATATAATCGGGATTTGAGATCACTAACATCAGTGTTTTAGCGATAGTAAAATTTACTCCTAGTGCAGCTATCTGGCTTTACTTTAAAATATTGAAGACACTACCATCGGCATTGGCAGAGTTAATGTTCAATAAAAGATTAAAACACCAGTAACAGCCTATCTGTAAGAGTGTATTCGGACTCGGTGATTGAGATATGTTACACATATGTGGCCTGTTAACTGCATAGTGTTGGTGACCTATACTTTAATCATTGTATACAATGGTGGAAGACTAAGTACATACCGTTAGTAGAGATATACCGAGAAAACCTCTGTATAAGAACAAATGTATTATAAATATGGCAGTGACGAGGCTTCATCAGCTTTGTCATCAAGTCACATGTCTAATAAACATGTACTTTTAAAACCCTCTCTTCTCTTGTTTACTTGTTATTTCAGCCATTGTTTCCTGGTTCAAAGTAAAACTTTATTTACATATACTAGAACTCTGTATAAAACAGAGTGGCTATTCGGGTTCAATGAAACGGAGAATGTTGATATCCGACCTAATAAAGATAGGTTTTGGATGACGGTTTAAACCCCTTTGTAAATACCAGTATCTCTATTTGTGCCGTTATACTGCCTCGTATTTTATGACATTTCTGTAGATAGTACACATGGTGACAAGTAATGCCTCGTGCTGATATTGGCATGTCCAGTGTCCCAGCTTGCTTTCAATATACAGTATTTGGTTCATTGAAGGTCAGCGTTTAATTGGAAAGTGACCAGGTATCACTATACGACCAATTGTCTTACTGCAAGCAAATATTCACGTGTACTGCGATGTCTTTGATTATTCCATGAAGCATGTGTTACATAATTGATAATTTGTCCCCTGTCATTGAAACGGAGGGATGGGGTGGACCAAAGTTTTCTTCAGTCCCTGCCTCTGTGACAGTTTTCCACCTCTGTACCGGCTACATACATTGGTGGATCCTCGTCAAATGTTGGAAATGGTGAACTGGATTCGCCTGAAAAAATATTTTTAAAAAATTACTGTAGCATTCTTGTTTATATTCTGCAATGTTGATCTTCAAATTCAACACCACTTTTTATCATTTTATTAAAGCAAGCATGTTAAAACGGGGGTTTCAGAAACAATAGAAATTTTCCTACGACCCGATCGAATCCCATTCAATCCATGAAGCTACTCGGGGCATATATTTAGGGGAGGAAATAACAAAAATCCCCAGGAACCTCCGCTGAAACCTACTTTGAATTTGACTTTGTCACAAATATAAGGTAGTGTTCACTGTTTGACAGGAAAATGTAGTAAAATTACGTGTGACACATATTGTTAGATATTTCTTTTCATACAAATACACTGCAGATTTTAACCCCAAATAGGTAGACTGCATAAGACATTGATGACGATATTGTAACATTAATCTTGAAAAACTTTTTTAATTTACATGCACATTTAGAGTAATACATGTATGTCAAGTCTTACGGTCTGGGTCCTGCCTGGCAATAACACATTATTGCAAGCAGAGCCTTATAATGAAACATCCAGGTACACTAACGATTTCTTTTAAGAACAACAATTCAGTTGTTGGTATATCATTGACATGTATCTCAAAACGAAAACTTTATGGTGAGATACGATGTGTTTATAATATAATAGGCTTGCTTTTATTCTTTCAAGAAGAAAGCCATATAGCCAGTACTCGTTCGAATACTGTGAAAGTAGTTTCCAAATGTACCTAAATATGAAACAAGGATAAAGTATAATCTGTGACACCTGTTTTGCGGAAGGCCTTCCATTATCCTCATATCTTACATTGTGTGTGGGCAACACATTCAACCGGTTCTTTAAAAAAAAAAGCAAACACTGATTTAGATTTGAGTCACAACTGATAATCGTTGTTTATTTACCAGCCAGGATATGTCATACTTCTGATAAGACATATACAATGAAGGGGAGTGTTCAACTGTTAAATCGGCCATTCAAGGTTAATCAGAACAAAGGATAAGGATTTGAAATCGAAATTTGAAAAAAAAAGAAAATCGTTCTTTGTGTTTTAGATTTTAACACTTCATGAATTAATCTATAAGTAAACATAGTGACGGGCGTAAACCTTTGCCAGAAATCAGAAACATAAATCCGTCGGTGATTAAAATGGACCTAATCCATGCTGAAGAGGTGACTAAGCCTACCTTGGTTCAGTTTCCTGGTCTGGGTTGTTATTTGACAGGTTCGGCAAACTTTGTAAGTGTTTTACGTAAATAAATAACACGTATGATGAGGACTGTTGGTTCGTGTGGTAATTACGAACAGGAAAAGCTTAATCCTGACCAAGAAGTCTGGGAATTCCCTACAGAGATATATAAACTCCACCTGTAACGGCACATTAAAGCATCTGAATTATTCGGATTGCAGATGGAAAACACGTTCCGAACAAATTTAGAATTAGATGCAGTAGAGCCGGATAGTTAATTTAATTGCATCCTACGTTGATGATACATGCGACCAAAGAAAAATCCAAAGTGGTCAAAATAAATGTCAGAAACTAGATTGGAAGGTGTACCGTGTCAAAGACGAAAGAAATTTCATGCGGACAAAGTCGTAACACAAGGATTCAATAGATTCAAGTTAATGAAAAATATGGGGAAGTTTTTTTCGGCCGTCATCGTGATTTTATTAGGAAATATTCTATTTCTTTGTTGGATTTGTTTGATGCTTGTTAGTTTGCCTGTTCGTCCGTTTTTGTACACCTTTGTTCTCATTTTCATCATGGAGATTCGGGGACATGTCCATAGACACATTTTTGTGACATCATATAACAATGGAATTTCAGCAATTATGCTTTTTTCCCAAGAGAAATCGTTCACAATCCTTTGCCTTTTCTACCGAGAGAAAATCGTTCTCGTTGCTTTACCTTTTTATCCTTCATAGGTTACGGCACATTTAGGCCCAGGAACCTCTAGAATTATTCAATATCTGGACTTCAGTGAGAAGTATGTGAAGATTCACGGAAAAACCAACAAAATCCGATATGGAAAAAATGTTTCCATTCATATTACGTAATCTGTATTATATTTTTGATGTTACATTTGAATTTTTGCAGTAGACGTAAATTAGAGCTTTTGTAAAGAGGTTTTTTCTGTTCTTACAAAAATACCAACATGTGAACATCAGCATAACCCAAACACAAATAAAACTATGGGGATATTTGAAAAATAAACCTTTTGCACCGAGATTCCTGAAAAAGCGCATGGAGAATAAGACCGGGTGATCCGGAAGAGTAAGCGTCTTCTGCTTCATCGACGACATCCGCCATGTAAAAATTGGTCAATCCAAGTAAATAACGTAACGTTCTGAAATCAGAACAAGTTATACAACAACGGAACCTACAGGCAAAGTAACGAGCTTCAATTACGTCCAGCTTCATATCAAAGTACATGTAGCTATTGAGTTAATGCTTGCTGTTGGCATTGCATCGCCTAACTCTCCCTGAAACCAGGTAGAGTTACTGAAATGAAATATCAACAGGATATATAAAATTTTAAAAAAAAATGTAAAGATAAGATTGCAATTTGTATGATTATAACTTCTGCATGACATTTTGTGAAAGTGACAGTAGTAGTTCCATGATGTTTTTCAAAGATTCATCATTCAGCATGTTAATAATTCCTACTTTGAATTAAGGATATATTTCAAAATGTATATACAAAACGAAAATTGTAGCTATTAAGTCTACAGACAATATGATACAAGGATATTTTGGATTCGGGCGCTTCTTTTAGATACGCCATTTTAATTTGCGAAAACAAACCGTTCAATTGATAATCGTTTGTAAATCTTAGAGTTTGGATAAAGAATTAAACAATAAGACTTTTTTTATGAAAATTTGGTATCATTACATACTATACATACTTTCTTTGTTGGTCTGAAATGACGAGAGAGAAAATAAAATGATGTGCCGAAATCAGTCATGCTGGAATTATTTAAATGTGGATAAACAGCAATATATTATCATTAAGTCTTACCCGCCATCTCCTTTGTAAACGAATAGCGTGGCAACAGAATAATAACTTGTGACAATGTTTTGGCTTATTCTAATAAAGATATAAATTGTTTCGTCAACTTCGAATAGTTTTTTAATAAGAATTATGATTTCGGTGAGTAATGTTGAGAATGATGCATTTTGATAAATTATTTGGCTCTATTGTATCAAAGTCTGAATTTGTTCTCGAAGATTATATTCACTTGTGTATCTCTAGTAAAGTCTTGTAGTGCGTATAGGCCTTATTAGCGGAAAAGGGATATGGACAAACCTATGAGGTTAACATAAAGTGTATAGTGGTAAAAGATAGGGACATAATCCCGTGGTTCAAATGGAAAAGATAGTAGGAGTCAACAGTACCTAATGTTTTAAGGAAAGACAAGTTGTGCTATGACTAAATAGTTGGTGACTGCCACAGAGATACTATCAGTGTTGACGAGATAGCTAAGTGCAAGTCCACACACACGTACTGTTGTTATCACCTTCCCGTTTGTCAGGTCTCAAATATTCCATATCAGTTCTATTTTCAAGGGCACTTTGGGTGGCTGATATTTATATAACTAGAACGGTCATTTAAGTTTCAACGGGTTAGTCACTATTCTTAGTTCTGTCGCAGGTCTGAATAATGTGTTGCATATTTTGCATTAATTATGATCATATAAACTGAAACCTCTAAATTAAGACCACCTCTCTATTAAGACCATGTCATATCAGTCCTAAGAAAATCCCCAACATATCTTTGTATAATTAGTTTCACTCTTAAGCCAACGCTGCAATTAAGAACAAATCACCGTTAAGACCCTTTCGTATTAAGACAATTTCCAAACAGGTCCCAAAGATCTGCATTGGTATTTTGCCGATATCAGATATAAGATATTTTGGTCTTAAATTGACTACTCAGGTATGATTACGTTTTGTTTTATTTAATTGAAAAAAAAACACTGGACTAATTTGATGACTGAAAATCTGGACAAAAGTCACCTCTATGGAAGTCCGTCTGTGAGGTCGTACATTAATAAGACCACTTCACTATTCAGACAACTCTTGTCCAATCCCCAATGTATTTTCTCCAATCTCTCACCTGCAACATATTTCAACTTAAAACTTGACGCTTTGCAAGATGCATCTTAATCAGTCGTCTCTTTTAATGAGAATGGAATCTCTTAATAAAGGAACCTATCCACTTTTAAGACAATTTCCCTCGTAATATAATACTTTTAATCAAGTGAAGCTTTAATCTAAAATGCTTTGACATATCTGAATTTGTCTTTTTTCAGTTATTGGTCGCTCCCTGCCCAATACAGCGTGATGTTTCGAAGACGATCAAATCATACCTGGTAATCTGTATTGGTAAACAACCGACTGAATCAGAGATAACGCCCGCGTCCTCCTAGCTTGGTCTTTCGTTATCTCCCAACCCACAACCTAGCCGGATACCGGTTCGCGAGGCATTCAAAATGGCGGCGTCCTCTGGACAGTTGAAATTCAAATGGATATTGATTGCATGCTTGTGTATGACTGAAAAAGGTTCGTATACTATTCTTACTTATATCAGACAATTTATCAATGCATTGGAAAAGGAAAACTTGCTAATTGTTGGTTGTTACATTGGAGATTGATGCTATTATTCAAAGGTACATCTATTTTGTAAGGTGTGCATAAACTTACCTATGTTGATTATGCGATGGACGTTGATACACCTGTGTGTCCCGCACATGCATTTACACAACAAACAGAGTTAACTAATTACGCTGTCTGTCTAAACAACAGTTAATCCCGTTTTATTTTGTTTCACATTCCGTTACGGTTAATCTACCTAATTCGCGCGGGAGTTTTCCCTCTAACGCACAAAGAATTATCTTAATGGTCGATTCGATATCAGAAACATCTTTACAAGGAAAGTATAACAGCAGAGGTTCGAGTTTTATGTAAGATTTATTAAAACTGTTATATATTTGATGTGCAGTGCTACATATAGGTGTATCCGAGTTTCGGCGGGAATGTCCATTTACATTTTCAAGCAAATTACATAGGACATATGTGTATATCTACAAACGACATCAAAAAAATTACACTGAGAAATTATATTATCTTATCAGACTATATCATGATCCTGACATTGATGAATAGCTTAGTTTGAACCCAGAAAAAGCTTAAAAACATGTCACCTGACGAGATAGCAAAAAGAAATTCCTAAATTGTGTACTGCTGATTGTTGCTTTATCAAGAGCATTGGGAACTTATATCAACATATGTTATCTACAATACTAAGTGTGTATAACGCAACAATATTAAAATATACAGAACACTACAGGCATCCATTTTCCTATGACGAAACCTCAAGGGACAGCTTTAAGCGCCATGATTTCGAATTCCCTTGTTCCATAGAAGGTTGCAACCTGTCTGCTTTTTAAGGGTTTTTTTTAATGTCAATATGTTCTCATAAAAATATATTGCTTTAATGCCTCTCATTTTCCCCCGTACAGATAGCAAAACATGAGCTACCATTTACAGGTAATATAGTTACAAGACCAACAAGGTTTCATATATAACAACTAAAACTCCAGGAAATTATTCAATTTACGTGACATATTTAAGGTTCATATGCAAATTAAGATCACATCATAACCACGAAACAAATTTTCGATTTAGTTCCGCACCAAAAATTTGGAAACGATATAGAACAAGGTTAAAAGTTTATTTGAATATCACAGTTTAATATCATTTAAGTAATAGCTCATTACAAACTAATGTGTTTCACATAGGTTAAATAACACTAACTGTACAGTATATTCTTTCTCGTTCGACCACCTTGTTACCACTAAAACTGTACTCTGAATCAAATTGACGATCGAAACAGGTCATAATGAATAGGCAACAGCACAACTGTACAACTTCAAGGCGTTTCTGTAATGTTTTCCATTCCCCTCTACGGTATCACCGTGGAAAATGTCACATTGGGATCGTCCGTGGGTGTCAGTAGACACAGAGGATGACTGGAGTAGCTGTGTCATCCGGGACATTGACCCACACTGACGCCGCCATCATGGTTATCGGCATGTTTACTTTGCAATCCAACAACGCAGTGCCTGTTGTGCCCTGACATGGCCACTATTTAAATCCTAATTGATCAGTACGAGGCATTTTCATCATGATTCGAATGCGTTAAGTGTACATCTTACCTGCCGTACGATGGTATTATTCTCCCACATTTCTAAAACACGTTCACTGAAATATTGTTTGACGTTAAAACACACCTTCTTGATGACACCAATCATTGCCTATCTTCGTCCATGCCTGTTATATTTGCATCATTACCTAATTCTTGAATGTGAAAACCTGTGCTTTACTTAACATTGAGGCTCAAATTATAATATGTATTTATCTACACCAACTCCCAAATGTTGTTCATGTTCTTTATCTACCTTTTCGTGCAGAAAAAGACCGATTATACAAAGATCCTTTTTTAATATGTTTAGTGAAACAATTCATCAATTGCGTCGCTACCTCAGCTACTGACAAAACCATCCGAGCGAGGCGTAAAGAGATGTTTTTATTTCAAGTACACTGTACAAGCCAGTTTATCACATAACTGGCCTGTTGTGTCAAATCAATCGACCGTATCATGATTACCGTAAGATATAGATGTAATAACACTACTGTGACATCATAATTACTCATATCACGATGACGTAGTCTGATTGTCTTGGCACTGAAAAACTCACTATCCGCGTCGAAATAAGTTTGCCTTATAGGATAATTAATTTGAAAATTTTTGCTTATTTTTCATAACCTTGGGTTATATGATGAATAGAAAACTGGCGTAAATGATTTAATATTATACATGTATATCACCCATCTCAAGGCTCGAATTATTTTTGAACCGGTTAACAAACTCCTCCATTACATCGACACTTATATGAGAGTTTCTGTGTATTAATCATATATCAAATTTAATATTCTTCGTAACCATTTTTAAAATGAAATTCAAGCCACTTTCTTTTAAGGTAGACAATAATTGAATATTGTCTTTACATTTACTAATATATGTCCACCAGGTATCCTTGGTTCGTCACTCTACGACACAGGTTCCCAAACGTTAAAGGCTTCCGTCAAGAAGAAGGCCAGGATTGACCTTCCTGATGGCAAGGCTTTCTCCTTCTATGGCGGCAGCTACTCCAGCATATGGGTGAGGGCATATCACTGAGAGAAGCAGAAGACATTTATCATTCTAGTTTTCATCACACCTTTCCTCCATTTTACCCCTATGTTTACTTTTCATCCATTCTAATATTTCATTTTATCACATTTGACCTTAGTGTCCCCAATATTTTGCTTTCTTTTAGTATTTCCAGTAATGATGTTTTGAAGTTCAGATCGATCATTCTATACCTAGTTTAATCCTTTTTTAAATAATCAGAACAGTTCCCTTAGTTTCCTATAATTGTGTAACTTTTGTAGCATGATGACAACAACTATTTTGATTTTAATATCACGACCTACAACTTATGATATATTAGGTATTTATCTCAAAATGTACTACCCCTATTCTCACTTTTGGAGTATAGCATTGCATGAACATGACATATTTACTTGACGGGTGTCATGACGTGTTCCATAGGTGCAGGGAGGAAAGGAATTGTAAATCAAAGTGTATTGAGGATGTGGTGAAGACTACTTCATGTAGAAACATAATGTAGACAAATCATAGTATAAGACAAAATAGGTGTAATTACAAGACAATACTTATTGGCTACACTTGGATAGTGTATGACATGAAGTGTTGTATCATGTTATCAAATATATCTTTAAGAAGTTACTAACCAATACTCAATAATACCTTACTTTTCAGTTGACAACGGATGGATTTTTATCATTTGACGAAAGAGCTGAGTATGGAAATTTTAACTTTAGCACTGGTGACGTTACTCCGTCTTATGATTACCCTTTCATTGCTCCATTCTATCACTCTGGAGAAGCCCTGGACTCTCACACTGGAGGTGGCACTATCTTCTACAGGACACTTAACACGTCTCACGACAGTGCGGAACTCAGTATGTTCGGTACAAATATATCTAATGCTGTGGTAGGAGTTCAGAATTTTCAGCCAGTAGGAGGTATCATTGTCACATGGCAAAATGTGGCAGACGCCATTGACATAGGACTTGGATGTGGTACGTCTCCGCAACCACAATGCAAGGTAACCTTTTTTATCACTGTTGAAAAAATGTGTCCACTTAACAATCAGACGTACTTCTTTTGTCAATTTCTTCATTAAATAATCGTTACAAGTTGATGGAATATTCATGTTTATCATGTTGTAGTACGAAACACGCATGTCTGAGTTTGATGTTGCTCTCCAAGACAGCCATTTTGGAGATCAGTGATGTTTGTTTCGTTTTATATATTTTCCCTATACATATAAGATTTACCTGTTTGTATTGACACTATAGTGTTATGTGTTACTGGCGTTTAACACAATAGTGTTACATTTCTGTTTGTATTGATATTATTGGTTAATGACACCCGTAGTTTGACACAGCTGTCCAACTTGTCCATGTGTGTTGACACATACATTTTGTTGTAAGGGTCATATGACGTTGCCCGCGTATTGCTTTCAATATCAAAAAGTTTTGGTTTTCAAATGTGTATCATTATGGTTATCTATAGTATCAATAGGATTTTATTTGCTAAAACTAATGTTATCTATGCTAATACCATAGTTATACATACTGTCGCTATGGTTTCTATACTGCCGCCGTGGGTATCAATATAGTTATCTATACAACGACATTGGTTGTTTATACGGTTGCTATGGGTTTTTTACCAGTAACAATAGCCTTTTGTAAAACGGATTAGCAAGTGTGATGTACAAATTATCAGTGACTTCCTTTTGTCATGTACAAATAAACGGCGGTTTTGTTTGATGTACCAATTAAAGTTTGTGATGTTCAATTAACAGATGGCCTGTTGTGATGTACATATTATTGTCGAACTTGTGTAATGGACAAATTATTGTTGATCTTGTGTAATGTACAAATTATTGTTGATCTTGTGTAATATCCAGAGATTGTTGACCTTGTGTAATGTACAAATTATTGTTGACCTTGTGAAATGTACATAATATTGTTGACCTTGTGTAATGTACATATTATTGTTGACCTTGTGTAATGTACAAATCATTGTTGACCTTGTGTAATGTACAAATTATTGTTGACCTTGTGTAACGTACAAATTATTGTTGACCTTGTGTAACACCAAAGAGATTGTTGACCTTGTGAAATGTACATATTATTGTTGACCTTGTGTAATGTACATATTATTGTTGACCTTGTGTAACATCCAAAGAGATTGTTGACCTTGTGTAATGTACATATAATTGTTTACCTTGTGTAATGTACAAATCATTGTTGACCTTGTGTAATGTACATATTATTGTTGACCTTGTGTAACATCCAAAGAGATTGTTGATCTTGTGTAATGTACAAATTATTGTTGACCTTGTGTAATGTACATATTATTGTTAACCTTGTGTAACATCCAAAGAGATTGTTGACCTTGTGTAATGTACAAATTATTGTTGATCTTGTGTAATATCCAGAGATTGTTGACCTTGTGTAATGTACAAATCATTGTTGACCTTGTGTAATGTACAAATTATTGTTGACCTTGTTAAATGTACATATTATTGTTGACCTTGTGTAATGTACATATTATTGTTTACCTTGTGTAATGTACATATTATTGTTGACCTTGTGTAATGTACAAATTATTGTTGAGCCTTTGTTATGTACAAATTATTGTTGACCTTGTGTAACGTACAAATTATTGTTGACCTTGTGTTATGTACATATTATTGTTGACCTTGTGTAACATCCAAAGAGATTGTTGACCTTGTGAAATGTACATATTATTGTTGACCTTGTGTAATGTACATATTATTGTTGACCTTGTGTAACATCCAAAGAGATTGTTGACCTTGTGTAATGTACATATTATTGTTTACCTTGTGTAATGTACAAATCATTGTTGACCTTGTGTAATGTACATATTATTGTTGACCTTGTGTAATGTACATATTATTGTTGACCTTGTGTAACATCCAAAGAGATTGTTGACCTTGTGTAATGTACAAATTATTGTTGACCTTGTGAAATGTACAAATTATTGTTGAGCCTTTGTTATGTACAAATTATTGTTGACCTTGTGTAATGTACAAATTATTGTTGACCTTGTGTTATGTACATATTATTGTTTGCCTTGTGTAACATCCAAAGAGATTGTTTACCTGGTGAAATGTACAAATTATTGGTGACCTTGGGTAATGTACATATTATTGTTTACCTTGTGTAATGTACATATTATTGTTGACCTTGTGTAATGTGCAAATTATTGTTGAGCCTTTGTTATGTACAAATTATTGTTGACCTTGTGTAACGTACAAATTATTGTTGACCTTGTGTTATGTACATATTATTGTTTGCCTTGTGTAACATCCAAAGAGATTGTTTACCTGGTGAAATGTACAAATTATTGTTGACCTTGGGTAATGTACAAATTATTGTTGACATTGGGTAATGTACATATTATTGTTGACATTGTGTATTGTACAAATTATTGGTGACCTTGGGTGATGTACAAATTATTGTTGACCTTGGGTAATGAATAAATTATTGTTGACCTTGTGTAATGTACAAGTTATTTCTGACTTTCTTTGAATTAAAACAAATTATTGGCGACCTTGTGCGAAGTACAAAATATTTTTTACTTCGAGTGAATTACAATTAATTGTTGACCTTTCGTGAAATACAAACAATTAGTGACTTGTATATCCCAATCATTTTATGGTAATTTGAATATGAACAGTGCAACGGTTGTTTTATTGCAAATGTTTCAGACAAGCACTTTTCAAGCCGCCATTCTTACAGACGAAAACAGCTCTACTTTTGTCATTTTTAATTATGGACATATGGATATTGCTATAAGAAAGTTTTACCAAGTAAGTAATGTCAGCAAATATTTAACAGTAAACTTGTATTGTTGATTGTTGATATTTGCCTGTATCCAAAATAATGAATTTTAACAACTACCAGAACAACGTCAAAAGAAAGATGCCTGAGAACATGTATTTAGATGACATCTTTGAAAGAATCAGATTCAGAATAAGGAACAAAAATAATCGAAAAAGATTTTTGCCGATATTGATCAAATGTAAAAACAATTCTGTGATGTGATTTAATTCTTTCTTTGACAGAGTGGGTTTAATGCAGGATATGGTGGTGAATGGACAACAGCCATACCTCAATCAGAACTTAACCGTGCACAAAACCTGAAAGGAAGTGACGTAACTGGGCGGTATTACTTTAGGGTTGGTTCTGACAGGATAGTTAGAGGAGGATGTCGTGACATATCTTTGCAAAGTAAATATCTTTTTTAATTTGCGCGTGCATGAAGTGCCTATTCGATCAAAGTTCAACTAGCATTAAAAATACCGCAAAGTCATATACCTCTAGTTTTATACATTCATCCAATGATCAACAAGTTTACATAATGGTCTGAGAATGGAATATCTACTTTACTAGAATATGATATAGCTAGGTCAAATGGTTTTGTTTCCTTGCATGATTGATAAAATATTAAAATACGTAGTAAAAGTAGGGAAAAGATACCTATATATTAATCAAAAGTTCATTATAACATTTATGCACCACGTTTTAGAAATAGAAATTGTAATCTTGTCATTTTGAATATAATCAACTTTTCCGCTGTGTAGATGATGGTGTTAGCCTAGAGATGTCGCCCAATTTTGGCGGGATGTTTGGTGGACAGACGATAGAAATGTCGGGTTCCTGTCTGGGTTTGAATGAGAACATCACATGTGCTTTCGGCAATCCCCCAGTGATCTCATCCGGCATCTTCATCAATTCAATGAAGATAAAATGCAGCGTGCCGAGACTTTTGGTTAGGGGACGTGTCGTTGTCTCGATGAGGCATGGTAACGGCAGAGTTTATACCGGGATTATAACAATAGGTAAGAGTACATCAGAGGTACATCACTATTTAAATATCAAAAAATCAAAAAATGTCTCTCAAGACAAACCAATGTGTTATCGGCAACAGGTTTTAATGCTGTTTACCTGTGTTCTGGTGTTTGGTAGTGGGTTCCGGACGGATGAGGGACACGCTCCAGTCAATTGAAATACCTGGAGCAGGCTGGAACACTACAGATGCTAGTAAACTTACGATGAGCTGGAACTCGAGTCTTCTCTCACCGCAGCGAAACGACCTGGTCACCATCAAACTCATCGGCTACAGGGAAACTGGAACAAAGGTAGGAACTTCAGAAAGCAAACGTAAGGTGATTGACAGAACATTAAGACCTACATGAGAAACAGTAACAAATATTCAATGAGTATCCTATGACATAACATATTCTAAAACATTGATCATGTTACATGGTTTTAAATCGGATAATGTCATTATCTTATTCCCGATATACCCTAGAAATCTGACTTTAGCCCAAAGATGGCGGCCATCTTTCTGTTTGAGGCAGATGATCGACATCAATATCGGAAAAAATCATTATTACGACATGCTAAAATGTGTCATCGAAATGTGAATTGGAGCATACGATAATCATAATCTTTGTGACATATTCTGATTCACTTTTCTCCCCTACAAGTGAGTTGGTCGATAATGTCAGAATGTTGACAAAGACGATAACCGTGAAATTGTCAATACAAGTATCAACTTAATATTACAAGAAATCATGTCAAATGGTGTTCTCTCCTACCTTTACGCGATGATTCGTTAGAGCATAATACAAAAATATTCATTTGAAAGTCTGAAAATTCTGATGAGCTTCACGATGCCCGTGGTATACTTTAATGAACAAATACCTATATCATTTTTAAAAAAAATGTTCACTAGGATTCAGTAAAACTACATTTTTGACAGATAACCCACGACGAGAAATATTTTAAGCCTATTCATTTGCTACCACCTTCATCCTGATCGTAATCTATGGGCAACTTGATTTGAAAGTGGTCGGGTCTTCTACGTCATCGTTGGTTGAAAGGAACGTTTTGAACGATTGACATATTGTAAGGGAACGTTTCGAAAGTGTGCAGGTCTTAGTTTTAGATGCAAACAATTTTATTCGACTTGCGATAGAACGACAAAATTAATTATCTAATATCCATTATTTACATAATAACAAATTGAGTCCTGGTCGTTATTTTAGATTGATATATGCTATGTATGATATCCTGGTTTATTTAACGAATCGGTGGTACACAGTAAGAAGACTTCCACTTTGTAAATCTTTGACCTATTGTTTTCCAGTGACGAAAGGTGTATACCTGTAACGAATTCATTACCTGGTAGCAACTTTGACAACAGTGATGAAACTTTTTAAGATTAAAAGAAGGATTAGATAAACAAAACGTGATCTAGTTTACAAAATAGATTTTAAAGTTCGTGGTTGCCTCAACTTGAATTTTGTTTAATCATCGTCTAATTAGGCGATGAGTCGTTAATATTTTCTACCTAAGGTAGTACTCTATTGCACTGCAAGTTTGTATTTTAATAACACACGTATTACACTTATTTTATAGGCAGAGTGGGTAGACCTGGCTGTCCTTGGCTCAGGCCCAAACGTCCTCAACAACGGAGTGTATACATTCAACACACGTGACCACAGATGTTCGGGAGACCTTTGTAAGGTGGAGACGGGTCTGGTGGAGGTACGACTGGTGGACCCTAGCAGGGCCAGATCTCACCTGTAAGTATGACTTTATACGTTTATATTCAGGACATTTGTTATAAGTTTGAGTTACAAAAACTATGCTTACCTGCCGTTGACTGACGCTACATATGTACGCTGAAAAGGCCAGATGACGTTCGCCGAATTAACTACTCATCAAGTTCAATTCCAAACTTCAACTGATATAATTTTTGACACTTTAAAAAAACTTTTTTTCAGTGCAACAAACATAATAGCTTATCTCAGAAGTTTTTCGTATCTTGCAAGTCATTAGAAATTCAAATTAATGCACGTGCTAAACATACGACTTTTTCGGGCATTGCCGAGTACAGCAAACGTTCATTTAGAAACTGTATTCCGACACTTGCAGCGCCTATTACATGGTAGATATATGGGGATTCAAGTCTAGTTACAGGTCCGAATATCAGATTGCATTGTTACAATTGTACGAAGTCGTTTATATGTGCGTCCTTCAAATGCAGTCATAAGTCTAAAACATGGAAGAAGTTTAATCCGTTTTCGACAACAGACATACATGTTCGATACGAAATGAAATGATATGCATAGTATTGTTTCACCAACACAAGTATTCTACTCTCAAACCTTTGCCGTACGAACAATTTATGACTTATAGGACAAAGTCAAAAGTATCATCGAATCTAATGTCCCAGAACTGTTGCTCGGCCAACAGCTAGTCGTTGCCTCTCATCGATTATATAACATCTTCCTATGTGAGTTTATATGAACAGAACTAGTCGTGGTAGACGTAGAGGCTGTCCAGAAAAGAAAGGCCTAAGAGAACGGCATCCCATTTCCAACTTCAATGATGTCCAGCACCCACTTCGACCTCAGATATGACTTTTTCTGCATATATCAACATAGACAATTTTCTGTAACGCGATGTCTTTTGATGCATGGCCTGCACATGTAGATCAAATATGTAGTATTACATGAGATTATTATCAAATGCGACCTGAATATCCATTGAAATACTTCATATTAGTGAATTCATCTTTCCAAGAACAATTTTAGTGGCAGAAACTCTGTAGATCGCCTTGCTGTTCATGTCACACTTCAAGATGATTAGCAGACAACTGATACACGATGTCAAAAAGTGTTTAAGTTTACCTTAAAGTTTTCGGTACCTGTATGAAGTCCAACATACTCAAGCCTGATCAGGAAAAGACAAAACTAATCGTCTCTTCCCAATTTCAAATTGCAAGCAAAAAAAGGTTTTCCATCTAAAGGTCGGTACCAAAACTATATTAAGTCTCAGTTGTAATAAAAAAAACTAAGGGGTACTGTTCGATAGTTCAACGAGAATGCCGGAGCAAATGAACGTGATTGCAAAATCCTACGATTTCCAGATCAGAAATATTGGTTGTATCAGACAGTTAATCACCACGAAGACATGAAAAACATTTGCTACTCCACTGTGCTAGGATAATGTCAGACTTTACTTTGGAAACCTGTGCGATACAGATCGGGTCGCAAATACGTTCATACAGTTCCACAGTATTTCCAAGAACTTGTCATCTTCTACCGACATATGTTTTCACCAAGATCAATGACAGATGTGCCTAATGTGCGATCTGAAGCCTTATTTGCATGCATATTCATATATGCCTGTGTGTAATGATAACGCTAAGATATAGATCAAATAGTGCAGGGTACTATGTAGTATTATATGTAGTATATCATTGCGGTATGATTTATGCATGTTTGAATATATCTTCGATTTATGATTAGATTATTCTATTATTAATGTTAAGTGTCTATACATATGTTGGAGCTTAAGACAGATATCTTTCTAAAATGAGGCGCCATTATAATTTCTGTATGCAAAACATGCTTCAGATGTATAACTGTTGACCAGAATTGTTTGTCCTGTCTTGCAGTTTCCTCGTGAGTCGTGAGTTACCCCTCGGATGGTTTGTTAATGATGATATGGTACAGAGATACGGCAGCCAGTGGCCACATGACAAGTGCATGTCGTGGTACAACAATGACCGCATGGACATGTCTTGGTTGCAAAGCCTACCTTACTGTCCCTGTAATCTAGGTCAGGCCCTGGTAGACTTCGGTCGATTCCAAACTGACCCAGGGTGTGACATGTTTAGTGGAAGTAGATGTACTTACCATATCGGAGCAGTCCATTGTGTGCGAGCTGTTCAACCAACGTAAGTATTACTTAGTGTTATAAAAATGCAAATAAGTAAAGATTTGTGTTGCATTTAAGAACAATTAAACTTTTATACTATTAAGCCATATGTCATATTCTTATGGGCTATCGTACTGATCCGAAGGTAGGGTTTTTTTTTCTAAACTTGTAGAATTATTACCATTGGGAAATGGGGAAATAAATATCCCTAGACAACAACAATGTGTTTAGTGAGTTAAATTTTAGTAATATCTAATTTTAAACGTTGTCGACTGTTGCAGCAGTTAATCTGACGCCTCTATTGTTTACAACATTTAACGTTAACCAGTTTGACGCACAATGTCGTGTCTCTTGCCCAAAGTGTCACGAATGGGACTCTTGCCTTATATGACCCGGTTGTGAATTTTGCCCATTTATTCTTGCCCGATGTGAAGCGCTCGTGACCATTGGCTATTGTGACATGACAAAAACTGATAGCGAATATGAAATATTTAGACCGAACAATTTTTGCGGGCATAAAATATGACATGTTAAACTCTAATACCTGACATAATGTTAATATTATTGGTTTAGGGTTGAAGGATCGGGGAACCAATGCTGTTACGGTCCCGATGGGGCTTTGCGTTATGCGGCTGATACGTTCCAGGGGAGTACTCCCGACAAGAGTCATGCATGGGGATCGTTCCCCTATGGTCGGGCAGATCTGGTTCCCAGCATGTCCCACTGGGTTAAGGATGTGGTGACTTTTTATTACTGTTGTCTGTGGACGAATTATGCCGACTGTGATTACTACATGGACCAAAGAGCCACGCGGGACTGTAGTGGGTACACACCTCCGAGAGCAGGTATGGTAAACTAAACATGATCAGACATTCTCTCAAGATTCAGACCAAAACATAAACTCTGTTTATAAACTTTTAGTTGTTTAATGCATTAAAAGTTAGCAATAAAAACTATTTGTCCAGGATATTGGGACCAACCCGATGAAAAAGTTCATCGATTTTGTTCCAATATCGATGTCTAAACCATTGAAAGGCATAGAAAATCCCAACGCTCCCAAACATTCAGACGATTACGAATAAGCGTCTAACTGACGACGTAAACTTTTTTCGTTATTGTCTTTACAATGTAAATAATTCCTGGCGCGCAAATGTATCAATTTATTTGCATGAATGGCCTATATCTGATCAGTTGAATAATTCAGGTAGCAAAACATTTCTTTCGGGTCTTTGATATCGGTAAAAATCGAGCTGATTTCACACAGAAATAATTAACTGTTTGACACTACTGTATCTAATTCTAAATCTGTTTAAAAGGGTGCTATTTTGTACAATCAACGGTTGTTGACTGATACGGCATCAGACAACAACTGGCTATCTTGTAACGATAATCTAACAGTTGTCCCGGTTAACAGTCGAAATTACATCATTTCATTCACATGTGCAATCGGGTAACATCTATGACTGCAATTTACATTGAACTCGCCAAACATGATAGTCTATGACACATTTTAGAATCTCGTATTGTCTGTGACCTGTCTTATTCATATGAAACTTCAAAGAATTTGATATTCTAAATATTACAAATCTGAAGATGATAAGATGAATATTTACACTGCCTTGATACCAAGGTAAGCGAGTTTGTCTTCAATAAGCCGTGCTTAACCGTTTTTTTGTAACTTATGGGTTTTATCACCTGATACTGCTTAGGTAGGTGATCAATATATGTTGAATACCTTTACGATAGCCTGTTTACCTTTCTTACCATCTCGGTACAACATGGTAACCTGACGATCATCAACAGTAGATATTATTTACTTATATTGACAGCTGCCATATTTGGACAAGGGCATGTGGAGACTCTGGACCACCGTCATTATCGTGTTTTTGGTGCGGGTGATTTTAAACTCCTGGAATCGCCGTACGCGAATATAACTATACAGGGCAGGTTCTCCAGAAACTATATGGGTAGGTGTTCCATTTGGACGAATTTTCAATGAAGAACAGTTTTATGTCAGAGATCGGCGTGTGGTTATTTCATCAATTGACAGTACTTTAGAGCAGTTGTATAGATCTATTTTCGCAATAACGATATTCTATGTAATTGTTTAATTCCACATGGATTTCCCTTCTTATTTGATTGTTTGTGTTTTGTTATGTAGTTATTCATAGCACTTTGTTTTACAATCCTTTATTTCTGATTGATAAGTATACAGTATACATTCTTTACAATTATTACCAGGTTCACACTACAATTATTTTCTTTCACTTTTGAATCTCTTCGGCGATAAATTTCCTAACCATTCTGTCTGTGAGTCTATTAACCTTTAACCTTATCGTTATGAAGGTTAATAAGGTTAAAGGTTAATAGAATCACAGACACGATGTTAAGTGACTTAACCTTAAGTTACATAATTATGTAATCCTGTCTAAACCAGACCATTTTCTGTAATTAATTTGTAATCCATTTTACCTTATCTGATACAGACATCTTAAGACAAAAGACATACACGACCCTAAACTCGTCTGTGGTTCTGACCAGTGTTGGTATAGAAGTAGGTCATGAGAGAGTGGAGATCAAACTAGACCGCAACAATCCACGACGCTTGCTCAATGTCCTCGTTAACAACACTTTCCAGTTTTTCGACTCAGAACCCGTTTACATGCAACAATTCTCACGTAAGTTAATCACATTAGCCTAGAAACAAGTGTTGTGTTTTTATAGATATAACTTTGGCACGTTTTGTTATTATTTAACAAACCTGTTACGGTTAATAATACGTTTGCCAGTACACTGACGTTCATCGATGGGGAAACGCCTAGCGATTGGTACATTTACAGAGACGGAAGCTATGCAACCATCAACAGAAGTAATATTGTAAAAGAGCTAATCCTATTTCTGTATATTCCGCAAACACAAAACAAAATATATATGTATAACTTTGTGTTTTATGATGCACTATTTAAACAAGAAATTTTTGAAGTTCATGATATTTTGCATCTTGCTTTTTTTCAAAACACTACAAAGAAAATCTAACAACATTACGTTTAAAATAACTATAGATCAAGATACTGTCTATCGTGTTTTTCGCTCTACAGAGGTGACCATTGTAAACTCACCCGATAAACCAGGGAACGTCAACTCCAACTTCACCGTGATTCTGAAGAACGGTATGGGTGTCCAGGTGGTGGCTTCGTCTGGTCTCATCAATGCATTCGTGATGGTCCCCTACACAATGAAGGTAGGTTTGGGGTAAATAATGCTGTATCAAGCATAACACCGAACGTTTGAAACGTTCCAATATGATCGCAATACAGTTATCATGAACATTAGCATTAGAACAAATATTCTAAATAGAAACCGATGAAAAAAGAACAAAAGGAATGACTATATAAGCAAAATTGAGAATTTAGAGATATAAACAAAACCAGCTAAATGCTTAATTTAAAAAGGACCTGAAGAACTAATACCAAAACTGAGAACTATGGATAAAACGGAAATGCCTACCAAACAACAACGACAAAATATTGTGTCTTTCTCAACAACTTACACTGGCTCATAATATACAAAGGTTTCGTAAGTATTGCTATTTCAGATATAAAGATATGAACATTTAATCGCAAGGAAATAAGCTGATGTGTATTGAAAGGAAAGAATACTCTTTGTATTTTCACTTACCTTTAAACCAATTTAATAATTTCCGAAAAAAAAATATTAATTATATTTCGGTTGATAGTTTCGTACAGCAGTATCGGCAGTAGATGTTAGAAACCATTCCATATAATTTTGTCTTACTCAGGGACTGGTGCGAGGACTTTTGGGAACGTGGAATGATAACGGTACTGATGACTTTACGTCTAGAGATACCAACCAGGTCGTACCTATGACGAACAACCCAACATTCTACAACCAGTTCACTTACTCCTGTATGTACTATTTTTAGTCATGTTATTACTTCTGTTTATCTGTATGCTCTATGGATAATACAGGTCACCTGCTTGTTTCCCTTTTATTCCATTGTCCTTTATTACTTTCTGTGGGGGCGGGAAAATATCCCAAATTTACCTTCTCTTTGAATTAACCATACTCTAAGGAGCGAGAAGATGTCTCAATTTCAAACCCCTCTTTGGATGATCTATCCTCGATGAGGCGGGAGGATGTCCGAGTTTTACCCTATCTTTGAATAATCAACACTCTGTGGGTCAGGAAGGTGTGCTTTGTTACCCTCTCTTTGAGTTCTCCATTATCTACGGGCCGGGAAGACGTCCCATTTTTACTCTCTCTCTTATTTATCTATGAGATTGATATTTACGATATTAAGCCTCTATGTGTATTCTCTGTGGGGCAAATGTTGTCCTTCATGTTAAAACTGTTAGTTTGGTTATTTTTGCAATTAATGGTATTCTTTTTTGTGTTGACGTCAGACTTTTACAAAGAATTCTCTGATTAAGAAATTTGGATTTGCTTCTCCGATCGCATAGATATGAATACAATAATATGTTGAACCATACATCAAAATTTTTTATTTTTTTTGTTACCTGTTTATAGGGCGTGTAAATAACACTGAAGACTCCATACTCCCTCATTACGTGTCCCCTGTAACTCCCTCCGACCTCAGAGACAGCTTCCCATCGACGTCTTCGACAATACGTAGATTATGCAATGGTCAAGAAAGCTGCGAGTTTGACTATCAGCAACTCAGATTAACAACACAGGCTGAAAAAACCAAGATGGCCGCCGAATGGGTTGGAGAGATGCAACTACTTCTTACCCCAGGTAAGTTTGGAAAGAAGATCATCTCATATCACCTGTAGTTAGTAGTTATATCATATCATACAATGATAAACAAATACCTTTCATTTTGTTGGTTTTTGTTTGTGTGATTTTTTTTTGATTTTTTTTATTTTTTTTTTTCGTGTTTTGGAGATTCTCACAGTTTTTAGGTTTCTTATTTTTAAACAAACTTTTGGTTTTCCTGATGCAGTGCGATCATGTGGCCTCCTAAACGTGCCCCGTAGTACCAAAAGCAATTACAACTACAGTCTGGGCAGCACTGTAACAGTGACAGGTTGTAGGACTGGTGAATTACAGGGAGAGTCATCGTACACCTGTGAGGCAACCTCTAACTTATCCCAGGCCTGGAGTCCGAGTGTCTCCGCCGTCTGTACAAGTAAGTCATGAATACTTATCCTACGAATGGAGCCGTCGTGATAGGAATACACCTGTCATATATATATATATTAGTATACATATGTCACGACATTTCTTCTGCAGTCATCAGACATATGAAAATTACGAAAGTCATTGAAAAATATGTCTGGTACACCACTACATACATATATATGTGTGTTTGATTCGATCACTCAGGACTAATGGAAGACCTCCTAGGGTCCACATTTAGACCACCATCATCACTGTCGAGCCTAGAGGGATGAAACAGTTGTATCTCTGCATCGGTTCTACTGTATCTAATTCTAAAATTGCATTAAAAGTTGCTAATCACCTGTGAGTCTTAACCACATATTTGATTATATAAATACGTAAAATGCTCTTCATAACCAGATACTATTGGGTCATTCTTTTCTTGTAGATGTGCCCTTGGACGAGGCTGATGTCGGAATGATCGTTGGTATTGTCTTGGCTATCGTAGCAATTCTGCTGGTAGCTGTCATTATTGCTATTATCTTTAGACGCCGGACTCGTAAAGACAAGAGGTAGGGTAGCCATACTACAGGTACATACGTGTTAAGTTAAGAGATTGTATTAATGTGTTCAGAATCACCTGCTAGAGCTTCCAATATTCTGCAAATTATTTACGTCCATATAATTAGTATATGTAAAGATTTTTTTATTAATTTAAACTATCAGTTAAGTAAGGTTTAAGGTGATGTTTTACCGTATATAGTTTTAATTGTATCGCAAATTCTAATTGGTGTTTTCTATGATAAGTTTAGCGTAGATACCATATATCTTGATTCCTGCGAAATTTGTGAAATCTAATCAAGCACCGGCCAGAATGTGTTGGTGTTAAATGCATCAGATTTATTGCAGTTAAATACTGGAGTTCTCATTTCTCATTACCGAAATAGTTCTCCTGTTGTTGAGTCAAAAACATTAAATATTTCAATGGACCTTAAAATGTGAATTTAAATTGAAGGCTCTTTAATTATTTGCGAATGCATAAACGACCATTTCAAATTCATAGTGTAACGTTCCCATTTCACAAAATGAAACCATGCATCGCTGGATACGTTTTAAGTGTAATCACACTTTACAATATGTCACAAATTGTACAATAATCGACATGGAATCCGAAAAGTGATACGGGTTGATAGGCTGACAAATAATAATATACCAGAACTCAAGGTATATTTACAAAAAGAAAACTACGATATAGGATAAGGTTTGATTTCTTCTTTAATGAAATCAGGTCGTGATATTTCTAAATTTGACTATGAAATCTGGCAATCGTGGAAAAAACATGTCGCCGGGAACCGACATTCAAAGTCAGTATTTATATTTATTACTAAACATTTGATAGTGTTTAAAATTACTTGAGAACCATAACTTATATCTATTTTAAGTTACTATATTGATTGTACGTGTGTATTTTAACTTAAAAGAACCCAAAAACGTTTAAAGTAGTAAAATATTATAGATATGAAACATATATTTTAAAACTTTAATATCTGATAATGAACAATAGTAATATATATATCCAGCTTTCTTCTTCCGAATATTTTATATGTAATCCCCATACGAGAACGTAATGTTAATGTTTTATGTCCTGTTTCAGTTGCAAATACTAATCGGTATTTCCATACATATGAATAAAGATACGGTTCACAATTACACATTTTATATGATCTTCTTTTCAAAATATCCAATATTTAAAATCTAACAATATCTTGATAATTGTATATGTACCTACCTAACTGAAATATAGTGTTAGTGTTCTTCATTTTAACATTGGTATGGGTCGATGTAGAATTCTTTAATTTGCTTTATATATTTTCACACACTTTAGACACGCACTTGTAGGATGCATTTTATAATCTGTATCTGAGTCTAAATTTGTATGGAAAGGCGTTTTTCACTCGTGTGACTTTTGTACAATTAGTGATACTATACTGTACGTTATAAAGCTCCAATATTCTTTTGACTTAGAGGTCGAGTCTAGCATCAGCCAAATATAACTTCATTTTTGTATATATTACTTTAGTCCGAGTGTACCGGAGGATGGGTGAGTAAGTCTCCCTCCCAACATATACCGCTAAGACGCTTTACATGTTAGTACCCTGGTTCTGCATCGTCCCTTTCCCATCCACCTGTATATCAAGCTTTGTCATACAGACTTACCATATATAGTGTTATACTATTTCTGGGCGTCATTTATGCATATCAGGCCTCGATAGTACGGGTGTTTAGATTGCAGTGTTAAATAACTATACATAGTTTTTATCAAATATGATGCCATATCCGTTTGCTACCATATATTTGCATGGCTGTCCATATTTGTATGTTGATGCAAGTCATTGTTGGTTCGCAAGATTCGTGTTTTAATTATGCTCAACTATGCTTTTTACTTTGTATGAATTGTATGATAATTGTATGAATTCATTTTTCATATTTAACATTATCCCTACATATATATTTAATTTAGAGATAATGTTACATTGTATCACTTAAATATCTACAGAATGTAGGGATAATGTTACATTGTATAGAATATTTCACTTCAACATACAGTATATAGGGATAATATTACAGAATATTTCACTTAAACATACAGAAAGTAGGGATAATATTACATTGTATAGACTATTTCACTTCAACATCTACAGTATGTAGGGATAATATTACATTGTATAGAATATTTCACTTCAACATCTACAGTATGTAGGGATAATGTCACATTGTATAGAATATTTCTTAAACATTACAGAATGTAGGGATAATGTTACATTGTATAGAATATTTTTATTGTGATAATATTACATTGTATAGAACATTTCACTTAAACATCTACAGTATGTAGGGATAATGTTACATTGTATAGAATATTTCACTTAAACATCTACAGAATGTAGGGATAATGTTACATTGTATAGAATATTTCACTTAAACATCTACAGAATGTAGGGATAATGTTACATTGTATAGAATATTTCACTTAAACATCTACAGAATGTAGGGATAATGTTACATTGTATAGAATATTTCACTTAAACATCTACAGTATGTAGGGATAATGTCACATTGTATAGAATATTTCACTTAAACATCTACAGAATGTAGGGATAATGTTACATTGTATAGAATATTTCACTTAAACATCTACAGAATGTAGGGATAATGTTACATTGTATAGAATATTTCACTTAAACATCTACAGAATGTAGGGATAATCACATTGTATAGAATATTTCACTTCAAGATCTACAGTATGTAGGGATAATGTTACATTGTACAGAATATTTCACTTCAACATCTACAGTATGTAGGGATAATGTTACATTGTATAGAATATTTCACTTCAACATCTACAGTATGTAGGGATAATGTTACATTGTATAGAATATTTCACTTCAACATCTACAGTATGTAGGGATAATTTTACATTGTATAGAATATTTCACTTCAAGATCTCAAGTTTATTGTGATAATATTACATTGTATAGAATATTTCACTTCAACATCTACAGTATGTAGGGATAATGTCACATTGTATAGAATATTTCACTTAAACATGTAGTATGTAGGGATAATGTTACATTACATGTATAAGTTTAAGCTGTTGTTTATGTAGTAATCAATGTCTGCTTATAAAAACATATGTATTTTTAAACATGAAAATACAGTTTATTTGAAAAATTATTTTCTTGTGCCGAATTCGTTTCTTTTTGTTTCAGAGGAAATTATTCAACTGATAAGTCTAACCCGATCTCCTCTGGGCAGTATGACGCTCGTTATTCAGAGGTGAAGTTAAGAGATGATGACGGCGCAACGAGGGAGAAACGTGCCAAGGACAAGGATTTCGACATGTAAACAACATTGAGGGTCAAAAGCGTATCTCTAAATGATGGGTGGGAATGAAATGAACATGTAATCGTCTGATCTTGGCGAAAAGGAGGAGACAATTTTATCCATTTTGTTATCCGTATTTGCTACACGAATAAGATCAGGAATCACGTGATTCTTTACTCTATTATCGGATTTCTTATCTTAAAATCAATATATCGATAAGCCTCTTAACACCTTGTTTTGCCACAAGAGGCAACATTTTACAAGGACATTTCAGGACGATAGCTCAAATACTTGCGATCAATCGCAACCTGCAATAACCTAAGAGTAACGGTTTCCAGAACATTCGTGATTGTTGACCGATAAAAAGATTGAAGAAAGCAGGTAAAATCAATAATTTTTAGTGTTAGTTTATTTTTTACGTTTTACTTTGAACCTGTAAACAGGGGAGGGATTTGAAAAGAAGGAGTTAATCTAAGATGACTGATTTACAGAAGTGCAGTTACGATAACATTAACAATATTGATAATTTTTAAGAATTTTTTACACAACCAAATAAAAAAAATCCTTTGAAATAAAATCCATGTTAGGTAATATCCATCGATTCTCAAATGTAAGCATGTGTTTGGTGATATGTAATGAGCTAAAATTTGCAATGGTCTCCTCTTTATGTGCCACAACAGTAAAGGTTTTTCATATACTACACTGTTGTTGCATATTATTATTGCCATCCGTTTATTGTAAATATGCTACTTTCACATTCAATAAGGCCACTTTAAGAAAATAATATCTCGATATACCTTATATAGCATTGTGTTCTTGTGAAATAAATCGACAAGGGAAAGTTGTCATTCCAATGAGTTTGTATATAACTGGACAAATTATGTAAATATAGATATGCGACCATGTTGTATTTCATGTCCCGGTAGTTTCTCTGACACTATTAGCATTTCTTCAAATGCATCTACGATCGCTGTTGTGGAATGTTTACCCTATACCTGTACTTGGTACAGTCCTAAATAGTTATCTTTCTTATGTTGTTTATGTTTTAGGCAGCATGTTATCTATAGGAATGCATGTCTAAGCTATACTCACGTGTATGATCATCATTATCGCAATTTCCGGTGTGCTTAAATCACAACTTTTTTTGCTGCGCATAAATGCTTACGTGTATATAATATAAGTAAGAATTCAGAGTATTTGATATGAAGACAATGTGCATAGTTTGATAATACGGAAACAAAACGTTTTAATGTAAATTATTAATGTGGTATTGTCACTGTGGAATGATTTCAAAGTATTTCTCAATTTATGCAATAGAATTAAAATAAAATTTTGACAGAATCGTTCTGTCGGTATTGAACATCCCTCAGGAAAACGTTCATGATTTTTTCACTACATGATCAAAAATAACTTTGGAAGAGTTAAGAAATTTACATTAGTAAAATTTATATATGGACAATATGTCACTAGTGTCGTATCCAATGTACAAGTATAGTTGTGTAAAAATGGTGTTATGTGCGAGTATAAATTTATTGTGCACGTATGTCTACAGGATTACTAAAGTACACAGGATATATATACAAATTTCTGTCATCACTTTTATAATTATAAAATCTACATATCAATATTATAATTATATAATATAGTGACCATTTTCATTCAATGTTAGAAACAGAATAAAGTTGACAATGTTGTGTGTTTCATTTACAATTAAATGTGTATGTCTCGATATCATCTACTCACATAGAAACGTATGTGTTATACATTTCTCAAAATGCTACACAACTTCTTATACAACCGTACCCAATAGACGTGGTCGTGTAGAACAAAATCATCTCAAGTATATATTTTCACGTACGTAATTAAGAAGATAAGTGTATGCAAACCATTCCAGAATAAAGAGAAATTGAAATCCTACAATGTTTTGAACTTGTTTTTAAATTGCCGAAATGCCGATCATTTCTTGTCTCTGGCAATTGAATACATGAGAACAAACATCGTGTTGCTTGTTACTGTTTCTATTGAACAAATGGATTAAGGCTAATATTACAAAAGAATGTTATATTCTACTAGTACATAGGTTTTCCTATTAAAGAACAAGCTACATTTCCCATAGAAATCCACTGGAAAATTTGTAAAACCACTTGTGTTATAGCGCGAACAAATACCATTATAACACTTACGTCATTTTTTTCTGTTGGGTTCGTTAAGATTTTATTCAAATAAAACGAACTTAATTTGACGTATAAAAACGTGCCAATAATGTTAAGTTTCTTTATTTCTGCTGGTGAATTTACTCCGCGAGGTTTGTCGTAACCTGCATGCCTTGTTTTAATTCATCTGAATATTATAACGTTTCAGAAAAGAAATGTTCCAGAGATTCTTTTTTTAAATGATGCAATATTGAAATTTATAAAATTATAAGGTTAGTGCCTCTTCAAATTTCGTTTCTGACAATTCAATTTTGATTTTCTAAAGTGGCATCCCAGGTTTAACGATAATGTTACTGACGAGTTCTAGAAGGATGAAACCGTTGTGTGATGTAGTTTATTTCATTTTTTGGCTATACTTTAACTAATTCTAAATTGTTTTGAAAGGTGTTAATCACTAATGTGTCTTTTGTAAAATTTTATATAATTCTAAATTTGATTTTTATAAATATTACTGGAAGTCCTCTACAGCAATGGTTTCCTTCGCAATTCTCTTATTTTTTACCTTGTGCATTTTAAAACTTGCATTATTGTTCAATATGACAAGTGGATGTTTGGCCTGTGACTAGTACAAATGGGTCACATATCAAGATATCTGGGGATCATGAAGAGCCGAAAATAAGTCAGTAGTATACGTGTTTAGTATATTACAGTGCAAATTTTCCGGGACAAACTGGGAATAGTGGACACTAATTTCAGACAAACGGAATTTTCCGATATACTTACCAAATTTCTCAAAACAAGATTGAAACTACAAAAAAATCCATAATATGCTATTTCAGTTTGGGATTGTGTATGTCAACAGTCTATATCAGCCTCCCGGTTTCAAATGACTTCATAGTAGTTGGGTCAAGGTCGCCTAATTGATCTAACCAATTGATTTTCACGCTCCATTGACTTCATAAGGCAAAAAAACATAACTTATAAAAGAACAGTCCAAGATATTTCTTGTATTCTATGTTGGTCTGGTTAGACGTTTCCATACAAGAATAGTTTTGTATTTTAATCGTTTAGCCGATTGGCAAATATGGGTGAAATATAGGTTTCGATTTTTTTTTTTTTTTAATTTTATATAATTTCTTGAATTTAATACTTGAATTTAATACTCCGATTTAATATATTAAAACAGAACACCTTTTCTGATGACATCTAATATCCAAAGTAAAGCACGTGATAGTTCACAAGATATGTACACGTTATATCAACCAAGTGATATCCTATAGAAAACTCTTCCCCTTTATATCCCATTAACACTAGAACCAACATTGTACAACAATGGCTTACTAGATGAATCCTTGCCCTAATGAAGAACGCTTCCAAAAAGCAATGGTGCCTACTCGACTTGAATCTGGCCTGACTAACGCTTACACTTATCTGAAAATGTATCACACAGATAACACATTCTACCTATATTCAACGGAAACTATGTAAAATTTCACTATTTCTTCTAGGAGTTGTCCCCCTTCCGCCCTTCCTGTAAATTACAAGTGCATTTACATTTGTTCGCCAGATTTTTTCTTTAGATCAATGATTTAGTTGGAAAATAGATTACTTACCGATACTTACTCATTCTCGACTCATAACGTACCCATCATTATCCCTTATATAATACATATACACAAAAAGGCAATATTGTATAAATTCGGAAATACATTCAATGTCGTTTTTTTTTCCCGAAATTTACTTCCTCACTAGATCTTAGGTATCGGTCACATGAAGATAACGGATAATATAAACTTCAAAATTGTTTTCCCTTCCCAATATAGGATATGTTCATATGTATGTTCAATATTGTTGAATTACTATATAAATATTGTTTAAAATTAACAAAAAAATCGCCCATCATCCTGTCTTTAGCCATCCGACTGACCAAGAATGGTTTTTAGAAGACACACTGTAGACAAGGAGATATAGAGAGGAGGCAAGAGGATGTAATGGGGCGTACTTTAGTAATAGTTTATTAATTATCTCTCTGAACAGAAGATAGACAAGTCAATCAGCAGGTTTTAGTGTTTCCTTAAACAAATAATGAAAAATAACAAAACATTTTTTTTATAATTTTAATGGTGCTTCTTCACGAAAGTTTCCTTCAATAACTTAATTAAATATGCTTTATAAAATTTGACAAAAAATACCGGTAATTACGACGTTTTGTTATTTCGTCACAAAGAACATAAAACAAAATAAAGCATCTCTTTCGTTGTCATGTCGAAATACGCAAGGGGCTCTTAAAACGTGAAAAAAAAATTACTTCAAACCCGCTTAATAATCTCCTTTGAATGGGAGCGCACATGTAATATCCTCTATTAATTAAATATTTGTAGAAATATAATCTTATTTGAGCAGGAAATATCTCCCGAAATTCACCTTTTCTGTCTCATTATTTTCCGAAGCATATTTCCTTCCTCTTTTCAAAAAATCTATGAAGCCCTTGTGGACTTTTTTTCCTCAAAACACATCTGTGCATCTAGTTTAGTTACCTAACTGTTGCCAGTCTATAAGCTAGAGAGAGGAATCATTTGGATTCATCAGGGAAATTTACCCTTGTCTTCAGCCTCAAGTATAGCATAGGCTTGTGTATTAGCATTGATACTCAAGATCGACCAAGCGTTTGATTTTCAATTCATCCGAATTCCCCCAGCTTGTTTGTGCTGCGATGACTTGGCGGCAATTAGGACGTGGTCACGGCGAGGTCACTTGGGGTGAATATCTCATACATCATGAGTGTGGTACTAATAACCGCAAGGGACATACATAATTAACACCACTGGACCTGCTCAGTCGCAGAAATGGAAACACACACCCTATTTG